TAATGTAGAATGTAAGGTAAAGAATGTAGAATGTGGAATGTAAGGTAAAGAATGTAGAATGTAAGGTAAAGAATGTAGAATGTAAGGTAAAGAATGTAGAGTGTAGAATGTAAGGTAAAGAATGTAGAATGTAGAATGTAAGGTAAAGAATGTAGAATGTAGAATGTAAGGTAAAGAATGTAGAATGTGGAATGTAAGGTAAAGAATGTAGAATGTAGAATGTAAGGTAAAGAATGTAGAATGTGGAATGTAAGGTAAAGAATGTAGAATGTGGAATGTAAGGTAAAGAATGTAGAATGTGGAATGTAAGGTAAAGAATGTAGAATGTGGAATGTAAGGTAAAGAATGTAGAATGTAGAATGTAAGGTAAAGAATGTAGAATGTAGAATGTAAGGTAAAGAATGTAGAATGTAGAATGTAAGGTAAAGAATGTAGAATGTAGAATGTAAGGTAAAGAATGTAGAATGTAGAATGTAAGGTAAAGAATGTGAAATGTAAGGTAAAGAATGTAGAATGTATGGTAAAGGATGTTGAATTTAATGTTAAGGACGTAACGTGTAAGGTAAATGATGTTGAATTGAGGTAATATAAAGGATGTAGAATGCAGGGTAAAAATTGTAGAATATAAGGAAAAGGGTATAGATACAAGGTAAAGGGTGTAGCATTTAGGATAAAGGATGTAAAATACAAGGGTAGCGTACTATTTCTGAATTTCATATATTATGTATTTCTCATGATTCAGGACTTTCAATGAAAAAATTAACTTTCGAAATGCATAGTTTACGTTTTTTTTTTTTCTTAGAAAAACAACAATTCTAGAATAAATAAATAATGCGAATGTACACCTTAAGAATTAAGATTTGAAGTTGTTTACTTACCATTTTCAAACAAGCTGCTGAAATTACAGCAGGATACTATCCAGGAAGTTGTTCCGTTGCTCGACTTGTAAATTCTGATATCGTCATTATAATTCTTGCAACTCCTGTCACTTATGGAATCATTACCAGTCTACATAATGACACAATACATTGTCTATATGCACACTATACTCTCCTTGCTGAATATTAATATCTTTTGTTCGCTTTCCTGTTAATTAATACTGATTGTCTTTCTCTTGTTTTATATTAGTATTATCCTTTTTTTATTACTTTTATCTTAAAGGTTTATTAGCCTAATGAATGGTCGATGTCTATATGATAGCAGAATTAAATAATGTTATTTTAACCATATTAATTATGTTGTAGCCTACTATTCTCAAAAGACTGATAATCTGTGCTTTGTAAAGGTTAGACCCAAATTGCTGTGGGAAATGGTGCAAAGACTATTCTTCTCTGTGTAACCATGTCTAAGTAGTCCCGATTTTCCATAAGAATAATTAGTATAATTCTATGTAAGTGCTATTTTCACAATCGCTGATGGCATTAAAATCGGTTAACAACAGCTCAGTTCTCAATCAATAGCCTAACATTATCCTAAGTCGATGGAAGGGTTCTGTTAAATTCACTAAATTCCGCAAACAATGTAAATAATTAAAGACCCGAACTTCTATACCAGAGAAGCACAAGGAAGAATAAAATCACAGCGAATTATTACGTGACTGGTTTAAAAATTTACCCTCTCTCCAAACATTAACTTGATAGACACGTAATTGTTTGTTACGCCGATATTTTCAAATACCAACTACTACCTAGTTTGCGATATCAGCATCCGCTGGAAGCGAACGTTACCATGTCATCTACCTATCAACCGATAGTTTTCCGAAAGCTATCCCCATCCACACGCGTCTGTCCACATAACAAGTACGACAATGTTCCACAGAAAATTTTTCGGTCACTTTGACGACACCATTCTCTGGTAAACAATGAAATCTATGTTAAAGTTTTGTATAGACCTATACAATCAATGACCAGAGTTTTCCAGATTTTCACCCTTTCATATAAAAAAATATAGAAAAAATAGCAAAAAACGGAGATCTTCCTCTAAAAAGACTATAGTAAACTTTGTAATTCAGTTGTATTTCAATAGTTACTAGTATCGGTAGCTTACTTCTTCAAATCTAACGGAAATGGATTCTAATGATGTAGTAGAACAATCGATATAATAACAATGCTAACAATCAAAGGTTATTAACATTCAAAATTAGTACAAATGGGCTGCAACCATTATGATGTCCAGTACAATAAATCAAATGTCTCTAACAATTTTATCTGATCAGTGGAAGGTTTATATTGTTTACAACTGATCCGAGGTAAAGAAAATAACCTATTAAACATAGAGATGTTGCCCACAGTCAACAACACGTCATAGGCATACTGTTCTGCACCTCTGAGCAATAATAATTCTAGCTTCTTTCACTGGATTAAGCAAGAAATCTATACGGGATATTGCTATATTTCTTTAAAGAGTTTGGCGGTTATCTACAAAACACATTATGTATCTCGGACACAGGTAGCAGCCATTTGCACCATTCCAATTTTCAATGCAATTTCATGTTATTACAGTGTCCTTGATACACATAAAATATTTAGAAAACCTCTTTACAATCCCTTTAACATCTGCGAAAAGAAATTTGTATAAAAAACGTAAAAGATATAAAAATTTAATACTATATAGCATAACAATAAAATATCAGATCACATCAATATAAAGATATAAAAATGACCACCAATTTTAGGTAGGGGGTAATTAGGCACTTATTAGACAATTATAATTTAAGTCGTTCCATCCAGTCAGGCCATATTTTTTTTAAACATGAAGAAGAAAATTTAAAAGGATTTTTAAAGAGGTTTTATAAATTTTATATGCATATCGGGGACACTGATAGCATCAATTTGCACCAATCAGGCGGTTCCTGCAATTCCACTAAAACTACGTGTTTTATGATGTAACACCCACAAACCTTTGCGGGGGTGACGTCACAAAACACTAAGTTTTAATAGAATTGCTAGAACCACATACGTCTGGTTGAAAATTGGAATGGCGCAAATTGATTCCACCAGTGTCCCCGATACACATACAAAATTTACTATCCCTGTAAGAGAAATTCGTGAAATAGTAAGGATTTATAGGGGGAAGGAGGTAATGACATCGATCAAGGATAGTGAGGGGGGAAATGGAAAGAAAAGGGTTGAAGAAACCCCCCCTGTTCAAATTGTGATGTTTATATATTTAATTATAGAGTTTTTACACTCTTTACACCTAAAGGCCTTCACCCACTACGGCCTTCAACGCCGCGGTACAAAGCTGAAAACGCCGCATGAGCAAATTTTCTGTGCGTAGGTTAAGTCTTTATAATTCAGTTTACAGACTGTAAACAGTTGTCATGGTGTCCCTTAAACTGATGTAAGTTGTTCTAAAACCTTATTCTCAAAAACTAAGATATAATCCAGTAAAAGAATAATAAAACTAAATCTAAAAACAGGACTTGAAACAAAATAGTTGTTAAGGATCCCTCTAAAATTCCCACAACCCCCAAATATAAATAAAATATGTATTGCTCCTATTGATTAAGTTTACTTATATCATATAAACCATTAGCTAATCTATATAATACAATACAGCCTTTACCAGCTGGGGCCATATTGTCCCAGATTTCCCTATGGGATTCTTCTAGTGAAACCATATCATTAAGTGGTAGAGTCATTATATTGGTTGATTCTTCGGCTTCTGATTGACTGCCTTCTTTATATAAGGATACCACTTCTGTGGACGATTTTGAGCACCTGTAAGAAATAAAGCAATAAAGCAAAAATCAAATCTTATATTTGATGAGTGTCTCAAACAAATTGGCTACAAAACTCCTCTATTACCAAGGCTATCTCTTCATATTTACAATGTGTTATATCACAGTAAGTGATCTGAAGGTATGTAATGAAATATCATGGTGCCTTACAGATCAAATTGAGAGTAAATCACTCACTGTACTATAAATTCAATGCTAGGTCTACAGGCACTGGTAGTATTTAGGGCTATACCAATAAGTTGTGGGGCTGATAAACAATGTTCTGGAATGTTGACTTCATCTCGTATCTCTCTAATTATAGAATCAAAGATTTCTTTTACAACTGCTTCACCAGTCATACTTGATAAATCTATCTCTTCAAAACTTTTTTTCCCCACCAGTTCCTATCAAAATAAAATATTAACTTATCATATCATCAAACAACCATATAATGATAATACCATATGTTTCTGCTGCTGCACCATCGATGTACTCAGCCGAGGCTATCTTTCAGTGTAGTTTAGGCCCCCTAGCTCGTTACATTCTGAAGATGGGTGTTCACAGTAATGATCAGTACAGATCTCGGTAAAGATGCAAATCAGGTTAACCTAGTCTTACATCAAATACTAATATAATCTTATGATATGTCTGGTTATGTCATAAAATGTTTCGATGCTTCTAATGAACTAAAACTAAAATTACTTTTTGAATACATGTAAGTTTTTTTTAAACCATGAAAAGTATAAAGGTAAACAAAAAACAAACATTTAGAAAAATGTAATGGTATGTTATGTACTTTGCTATTATTTGTTTTATACCATAATATATTCCTTTGTTTTTTGTTGTTTTATGTGCTCTCTGCTTGTAAATGTCATTCTTACATGAAAAGTAATCGGAACTTATACCTCTGGCTCTGCATGACCACCAGGACAATCCCACAAACCAGGAGATTCAGCACAATCATTACTTCTTCTCAATAATATAACATGATTATCACTGGTGATAACAAATGAACCAACACCAACCGGGTCTGACATACAAGCTTGTTCATTTTTGAAAACATCCTTGCCAAAACTATGTAATAATTTAGAATTTGGAGCCCAGTTTGTGCCCAGGTATTCTTTGTAACATGTCACACCTAAATTCAGAGTTAAAGTTTTATCAGAAGCTTCACTAACAGAATGTAATCTAAATTTTGTTCCATTATATAATTTCGGATTTGTATCAATCCTACTATTCCATGTCTCCTCAATTGAATTTTCTAAATTGGAAGGCAAGGATTTTCGATTGAAATCTTGATCTAAAATAGCAACTACTTTGCCATTTGGTAGATATTGTGATTTTTTCACAAAAAAGATTATTTTTATATCAGGATCCATTTGAAAATCTTTAAATAATTGCCTAAAACAATGGGAGAAAGTTCATAAAATCTTTGACATGTTTGTAAACAAATGCCACGTGATTTTGAACGACTGGATAACCAAGACCGGAAGTTAAATTAGATAAACAGGAAGTCAGACGTGCGCATGACTGACTACCTTGGCAACGTTTATTAGCAACAACAATAATCGCATGGAGACTTGTTAAAAATCTGTTGGTTTGCCATTATTTTCAACTCACTCGTACAGTTGCTCCAGAATTAATACAAAAAAATGGACGGAGAAGGTCTTCATCTGAATATCGATTATGTCGGAAGCAGTGGTATTATTTTGAGTCCAGAACAAAAGGCAGCTTTACAAACGTCACTTATTATTTTACAAAATGAAAACAAATTTAACACAATTTATTTTTGGGGCAAAATTTGTGGAATTAAAGATGACTACTACATAGCTCAAGGTGTTGGTCGAAATGAGTTTGAAGGAAGAAAGACATTTTACAGGTAACACTACTATTATTATTATTATCGCTTTTATTCTTTTAAATCTACTGACAACTCGGACTACTAGTCAAAAATAAATAATCATAATTTCAACTAACAACAATGTCAAATGATTGATCAGACATTTATTTATTAGGCTAATTGTTTATAGTTTATAACCTTGGTAATTTATTTATTTATGTTAATTGACCTATTCTCTACAAGACTTACTTACCCTCAAGGCCTAGGCCCTTACACTTGAGACAAATTATACTGGACTATTCTCAGTCATAGACCACAGGCATCTGTTTCTATCAATAGTCGACCATCTCTATAATAGTATCATATATATATATATATACTATTATAGAGAGAGTCGACTATCGATAAAAACAGATGCCTGTGTCATAGACCCCAATACATTCATCGCTGCTCTCCAAAAAATTCTCGACAGAAAAAAATGATAAACTTTTTTTTTATTTTTTAGCAAAGATTGTATTCACTGGGGTTTATTACCACCAGCAACTAAAGCAGTACGAGATCAGAGTAGACTAGCTAAGGGGAGGTTTACTGGTGATCCTTCTTATGAATATGAACATGTTGAAACAAAGAAAATTGGTGAAGGTGAAGATGCTACTGAAGAAGAAGAAACAGTAAGTTATTATAAAATCAAGAGCACGTTAATCTATTAGAATTCTTGGTAGTGTTATGTTAAAATAAACTTCCTTGATAGTTTCTATTGAATTGCAGCAGAACCTGATGTAAGATTTTAATTTCTAAAAATGATATCAGATTCTTATATAACTACTATCGTTGTAGATTATGATTAAAGAAGAAAATAGATTAACATCTGTTATAGCTGATATTGATGAAGATGTTAGAATTGTACCACGAGCAGCTTACGTTAAAACACCAACAGGAAATGTTATTAGCAACAGAAGTTTCGAAGGTGGGTGAATGTTCTTAAACTCATGCAATCAGTTGACAAATTAAGTTGACAAAATTGTTTGTGTTTCTATCTAAGCATTGGCATTAAAATGTGTTTTACCTGTAATAGTAACAGTATCCAGCCATTTAGTGCAATGTGTCAGAAAAAAAATTTTTGCAGTGTGTCCAAAAAAATATATAGAGATTAGTTTATGGGGTACTTTTTTGCTTTTATTACCGTTCTATCACTCCAGTCTCTCACCCATTCTCTATGGTTCCGGTAATTCTAAAATGAGAGCCTGATCAATGATCATTATGTCATTATTGCTTCTACTATTCTTATAAAACCTACTTTAAATCTCTTTAGGAATGCAAGATACATGTTATATTTGTGAAATCCGTTCTTTATTTTTTCTTTTGAACTGATGACTGTCTAAAATATCTTGCTTCAAATTTTCTTAGAAATATACAAGAAATTGTCTGTTTTCCAGGTCTTTCAGTATCTGAATCAGCAAAGTTAAGTAGTTATTTACATTTCCGTGAGGCAAAACTACTTCTAGAAAAACCTTTGTTAGACAGGGCCAACTTAGATAAGGCTTTGGATTTTATGGACTGTATAGAAGAAGATATTCCTCGAGGTTTGTAAATTGCTTTATAATTTGGCAAATAATAAACAAAATTTCAGCATGACATTGTCAATGTTGTAAAAAAAGTTTAGGTATCAATTTTTTGTCACCCAATCATGCAGGGCTCCTGTACTATAATGGAAAAATGATTGTTAAAGTAAGTTTTAAGCTCATTTCCTGGTTAAACCTTAATTCATATTTGTTTTGATTTCAGGATCATGGAGTTGTCAGTTTGAAAGAGGAAGTGGTCTACTGACATTAAGAAGTTTATTGTGGCAAGGATACACATTTTTCCATGTCCCTGGATCCCGAAGATTTGGCTCAGTATATTTTGGTTCAGGAGAGAAAAACCTAGATTTACCATTCATGTTATAAATAAATTATTTGTAGAACTTGAAAGTGGTGAAAATTGAGTCTATATCAAATACTTATTTCATTGTTTTTACTGTACAAAAATATCATTCTATATAGCATTGAAGGAATTCAGCTGGGCTTGATGTCAAGAAAATGCAATAGGCAGCATAATACTAAAACAAGACTATTATAATTTTATAAGGGGGTTAATTTAGGGGTTGGACTGTAAAACTAGGTGTATCATTCAAACTCTTGCTACTGATTTTATTTATTATTCATGAATTGTATAAATAAAACATATTTATTCATTGTTTTTAGTTTTTTACAAATTTACTATTATTAAACAAAGCAATTTTTAGATAAATAATTCTTTAGGATGATAAAGAATTTCAACCCCTTTGATAGAAATAAGATTACACATAAGCAGATAAGGTCTGTTATCAAAATAGCTTTCCAAGTTTTTAGAGCTCAATTTAAGCTGTTAATAGAACATTTGAACTTGAGCTCTGAACAAAGGAAGCAAATATTTGAATGATTTTCCATTGCAGCTTTATTTTTTAATTAGTTCTAGTGACAGTATATGAAGCTCTCTCTGGGTCAATATTGGCCATAGACCCATTATTCAGTGTGCCAGGTCTTGCTGTCAGAGATGCAGTGTACATGATCATAATGAATGGATGGACAATTTCCTTATTGCAAGTGTAAAAATGGTGAATTCTATCAACATATATCTGCAGTATATCATATATTACAGTCTATAAATGGTTGAAATCTAAACACAGAATTTTCTGTCCATGACATCATTGTTCAATACAGTTTTTTCTCCACATATATAGTATCATGATAATGCACATTATATCTCCTCCATTTAAATTGACTGCGAAGTGGTCTGTCTTTGTGAGATACATGTTTTAAATCAGGTCGGAATGGTGATAATAAACCTGTAATTAAATAATACAATTCATGTACATCATTTACTCTTTCAGGCAGCAAGATAGCATCTGGTATCTTATTAAAGGGAAAGGTTCATCATTGAGGGTTGGTTTGGGTCTTGAGTACTGTATACAAGTTTTTTCACTTTCTATTTCTACTATATGTCATTTCTATTTATGGCAGAGTGTCAAGAATTGACGCGTCATCAATTTAACGCGGATAATTCTGGACACACTAAAAAAAGTCCCAGGCTAGGTTATGATAAGTTAAACGAACCTGTCCCTTTAAATTCTAGACTAATCCTCAAACGGAAATGCAGATATCTGGACATTACATATACCTCAAGATTTGTTTTCTTGAGAAATAATACTGTCATAGTGACAGGTACAAAATTGCTAACCATAACACATGCAATGCAAATGATTTCCTCACTGTAGAGGAGTGGATTCTCAAGCAGGAATGCAGACATCCAGATGGGGAGTAGGACGAATATGTTATATTCTATATATGTATAACGAACCTGCTATTTGTGCTTTTCTTACTAATTCTAAGAGATTTTTCTGTTGTGATGGACAAACTTTTGTTATTCTACGGGGTAATAAAGATCCATCAGGTCTTAAAAACTGACTTAATATTAAAACATCCTGAAATAAAGTTTTAAAGATGTATTTTTCTTAAAATTCATGAAAATAAAATGTTGTGGAAAATAAGAACTAATCTAATTATAGACACCGCTAGTGGTGATATCATTCCCTTTATAAAGTAATGCTAGATAATATATACCTTGAATTTTACACTTAATACTTACTGTATAATCTATTTCCATTCGTAAAGAACATATTGGACAAGAACCTTCAACTGTTTTAGGTAAAACTTTACCCTCTCTTGAAGATAATTCATTTACACCAGAGATCTAAATATAAAAACAAAGCAAGTTATTCAAATGAGTGGAATGCTCTGTGAGAACATTCTACATACTTTTCCACAAAAAATGGTACAGAATTTATAACTGTTAAATTTTCTGTTTCTGTTGTGCTTCACTGCTGGTCAGTGCCAACTTTTATCTCTAACAAATTGAATGGTTGACTTTGTAACAGGTGTTGTTTTCTCTACAGACATTAAAAATCATGATCGTAAAACCAATACATATAACCTGATGAGGTCTCACCAACTTCTTCTTGGTATGAACTTTATAAGAGATACTCTCTTATAGAAGCACTAGCCTAGGTCCCGAGAGAGAGTGACATATTGTTTAGGGAAAGTGATCCTTATTTTATACCCACCACTGTAACTTGACCCTGTTTTTCTTCCTTAACTACAAAAACAAAGTGAAAACATAGATTATAATTTAATGTCTATCATTGCAAGTATGGTACTCGTAGGGCCTACCATATACACAAGACTTTGTAACCACTGTTCCATCATTTATATTCTCCATTTTGACTGATGATTAAATTATCATAAGCAGAAACTACATCTGATAGGTCTTATGTCCTATTGGCCTAAAATATGATTTTAATAAACTAAATAAACGAGAAATTTACTGCAGTAACATCCTGTAGCAGGACCAAATCTTATACAATTGAATTGAACATATCCTTTTAAGCATAAATCTAACACTGAGATGGTGTCAGTACTTTCAGAGGAATGGAAAATGTGTTTTCAACTTCAACAAATCTGTCAAGAGTCATTCCTCCATTCAGTATCAGCACTATCAGATTCCGTCAGATTTTTACTTTAAGCCTACTCATAACCTACCAGATTTCAGGAAACGCTTTGAGGTAGAAGATATTGATCTCGCTTCGGGAATCGTTCTGTGCCAGACACGACCCTTCGGAGTAATGTTTAATATACTTCTACAAATTTTGAACATTTTCACCCCAAGACAAGAGAAACATCAACACGATGGGTAAATTGACCTTGACATTAGTAGAAGGGGCATAACTCGTTTTCGCTGTCGGAGTTGATTGACTAAATAGGTTACTTTGTAGAATGTATTTTTTCTATCTATACCTTCCTCCATGGAATTATAGGAAATAAAGGTCTTAAAAAGAATTTCAGAAAACTTTACGCTAATACAGTTCTTTGACTTTTTATGGAATGATATTAGATTTAATATGGTTATATAAGACATAGAAACAAGTAGAGTCGTAAGCAGCCAATGATCCAATGATGTCGAAATCGTAAAAGGTGCTTGATTTGCATTTTTATTTTCTAAATGAACAAATAACAAGGTTATCTTTATAATTTTATGGTTAGTAAGTATTTGAGACACGAAATTTTGTTGCATTAAGTGAATATGTGTTGTTGTCACGACTGAATTATAGAATGTTTATTTTATATGGATGATGTACAGTGGTGTAACCTATTTTCGTGGATATAAGGATTCAACACCGAATTTCGTCAAAGTTATAAAAACGAAAAAAAAAAAAATTATGTCTTAGATGTTTCCTCAGATATTCTACAAAATTATTAAAATTGGTTTATTTCGATTTTCTTTATGAATCCTTCACTTTGACCCATATTTCATGAGCAACCAACTTGGCAACGGCGGCAGAATGCGTCACCTATTTTCGTGTACAATGTTTGATCTTTAAATAAGTCTAGAAAAACACGTTGTATGGATACCGGTGGTATAATTAACTTCTCTTAGTATTTATCTTTAATATCAATTTATTATAACTAGTGACAATTCCTTCAAAGAACCACGATTTAAAAAAAAAAATAGTGACTAACAAAATATGATACGTAGCGTGATTTATTGCTAAAAGTCACTGAAACAATATAAGAATATGGTCCACTTTGTGTTCCATAGAAATTTTCTGCTGACATGGAATCCGCTAGTTGATCACGTGACTTCATTCGTTGGAATATATTCTAGCAGACGACACTTGGAATTCCGATTACCACTTGGGATTATAAGGAAATTCGGCCGATGAAAAATGGTGACGTTTGGTAATAAGTGAAATTCGCCATTTTGTATTTGTCAAAGTATACATTAATACATTTTACCTTGCTTGAAACTACTGGATTCATTCTACTAGCTGACATTGTACAGAAAACCCATGTTTATCAAAACAAACTAATGCGGAGGTCGCGCAAGGTCGCTCATGTACATTATTAATCCTTTCCGGAAATCCACTAATAATAGGTTTCCACGAAATTAGGTTACTTGACTGTACGTATAAGACAACTTGGACCATATAATTGGCATAAATAATTGGGACGAATATTATTAAGATTCGGACCAACTGTTGTAGATGACCTGGACCTACTGTTAAAGACAACTTTTAGAATAGATCACTGGTTGCATGAAGGCCTCTGATGGTGTTTCACATTTTAGTCCAGTAATTTGTTTATAAATAATAATAGTCACTAGTAACTGCCTCACTATTCTTGTTTCCTTTTTTGCTTTTTCAGACTTTTCACTCAAACATCTTTCAAAATGGAAGAAACAGGAAATTTGAAAAGATCAAGCACTCTACCTATTGAAGAATTAGTCGATAATGAAGATAGCTGTTTATCAAAAAAAGCTAAAATTTTGAAAGAATTTCCATTGAACCGTCATGGCTCATCAAATGAATCCCAGTATGTTGTTTTATCTCAAAATGATGAAGTTATAGATCAGTCCTCTCTGGAATATTCTGTCAAAGATTTTCTAAGTGATGATGATCAGGAAAATGAGTCAGAGGGTGAAAAAAGTGAATCAGAAGAGAAAACAGAAGCAGACGACAAAACCACAGAAGACACTTTACAAGATACAGAAGTGAATTCTGATAAGACTGATGATGTGGACTGGGATACAGAAATAAAAGGTGATGTTTCAACTTCTCATAACTTGACTTTCAATGATTCTAGTACACTTCAAGATGACGATGTCAATAATATAAGCCTACCATCCAGTGATGAAAATATTAACTCTAATGGAAGGACTTTAGATTCACCTGAGCCCAAGTCTGGTTTCTCTAAGATTGAATCAGTGTACAATGATGCTAAAATTATTCAAACCATCATCTCTGATAAAAATATTGATGACATTTATGACAAACTAGCAGAAAAACGTTGCAATCCTAATAGATTACATGTGGTTACTGCTGAATTACTGGATGAACCTGATTCTACCACAGCGGATGATATCCATCGTGATGTTAAAACTGTTCTGAGTCAAATTCAAACCAAATCAACTGAAGCAGTTAATGAATCTGATATTTTGACTCTCTTACGTTTAAATGAGAGGAAGAAAAATCGTGTTGAAATTGTGATACGTCAATTATTGGTTTCTTTACAGGAAGCAGACGCAAGCCAGAGTAAAACAGAACAGAAATCTATATTTGACGAAGTGAATACTGTAGCTAGTAGATTTCCGACCACATCACCTGATGAAATATATGCTTTGTTAGAAGAACATTCTTCGTCTTCTGATAGACTCCAAAAAGTTATAAATATTTTAGAAAACAAATGTTCAAATTGTCAAACAAGTGATTCAAAAACTGCACTTAATCGTACAGAGTCGGATCCTGACAATCCTTTTACTAAAAACGATCCAATTTATCAGGATATGCGTGTCATTTCCAAAATGTTTCCAGAAAAGGATCGAAATGAAATTTACGCTTATCTGGAAGCACATCATAATAAAAAAGATAGAATTCAAGTTGTGATAGAAGAATTATTAGGAAATAATGCTGATAGTCAGGATATGACTGATGGCCGAAAGCCAAATTCTCTAACATCCAATAGAAGTCATGGTGAATTTGAAAGTCTTTGTGAAATTTTTCCAGATTGTGATCCTAACTATATTTTTGAGCAACTTGAAGCCAGTGCAGCAGATCAAGACAGAATGAATAATTTAGCAGGGAGGATGTTTGAAAGTAGAAACTATCCAAAATTAAAAGATGTGCTGGATACACAATTAAAAATCACAAATAAGATGAAAATTCAAAGTATGAAATTTGAAATGAATGACTTTCTTCGGAAGTTTCCTGATCCTGTACCATACTTTGAAAATAATGATAAAGCTATGAGTGCTAGTTATAAGGATCACGTGTTAATTCAGATTAAAAATGACTATCCACAGTTAAAAGATGGTTATGTGAAAGAGGTTTTAGAAAGAAATAATCATTATTATTTAAAGTCTATAAGAGAAATAGATAATGAACTAAATGATATAGCAGGTAACTCTATTAAAATATAATATTGTTGTTAAAACTATTAATGTCATTGACTGAGTTAAATAGATTTACTTGTAGAATTCTTAAAGCGATATTGTATGCATATGAGTAACCAGCTGATAGAGCTCAATTTGAGCTTTTGTGTCACTTTTGGAATTAGATCTAGATACTTTAAATGTAAGTGTATCTGGAGATTGCATAAAGTCTTAACCAAGACAATCAAGGTTCTGTTTGGAAATTTCATGTCTGGTGATATCAGAGATTTTTACTTTAAAATAGCTATGAACTTTCTTAGAGCCATAACAATGATTTTTTTTTTATTATGAATTTCAGCAAGAGGTAGAAGGTCAAAAAAATTAAGAACAGTAAATAGAAGAACTGAAATTGCATTCCCAGAAGTTCCAGATGAATTTTTCTTCCAGGAACTGCTGTATTCAAAACATGAACTGGCAATAAAAAGTAAGTTTCGAAAGAGATTTTTTTCAAGATTAGGAATGCACTTGGATTCTTTGAGATTTTTTTATAATATAATAATTTAGTATTTATAGTAAGGTTAAGCCTCAATTGAAATTGTTAAATTTTGATATTTTTATGCAGTGAAACTTAAAGAGATAGAAGAGGAAAAGAAACTTAGAATTGATGAAGCAAGGAAGAATGGTGAACTTTATGAGTGTGGTTGTTGTTTTGATGATGAGGTTCTATTTGAAGATATGGCAACTTGTGCAGACGGACATCTATTTTGTAAAGAATGTATTCGTCGTTCAACAGAGGCAGCCATTGGTGATGCTAAAGTCAAGTTCCCATGTTTAACAGGATCTTGTGAACACGATATACCTCTTTCTGTTTTACAAAATATTGTTTCACCCAATCTATTCTCCAATATTTTACGCAAACTTCAAGAAGAAGAATTAAGATTAGCAGACATTCCAGACTTGGTATCCTGTCCATTTTGTAGTTTTGCTACGGTTATGCCCGACCCTGCTGATAAAGTATTTAAGTGTTTGAATCCAGAATGTCTAAAAGAGACTTGCAGGTGAGAATTGACTCCATTTTTTTCCATTTTAATAAGTTTTTTGATGATTTTACTGGAATCAGTCTAGAAATTATACTGAAAGAATTGAAAATTTTAGGGTGATTACTGTCCGGTTTTCATTTATTTTACATGGCATACAACATTTCATAACTTATCTTATTTGGTGGGGTTGATTATCTTCAATGTCAAAATTGGCATTATCAAATATTCACACCTTTTGCTTCAATATTTCAAGATGACCAAGAATTAAATCCTGCCTTTACACTCTTTATTTCAGATATTGTCAGGAACCAAATCATGTGCCATTAAAATGTAATGAAGTAGAAAAGAAAACAGAAACTGATATGAGAACTTTCATTGAAAATAAAATATCAGAATCCATGTTGAGAACTTGTACTACGTGTAAAAAACGATTTTTTAAAGATTTTGGTTGTAATAAAATGACATGTACATGTGGAACTACAATGTGTTATGTGTGTAGAGAACCTAATATTGATTATGATCATTTTAATGCCAATGGAGGGTAGGTATTAGTTGAAGATTTATCAAATTTGATTATTTAAATTGTTCAAAAAATTCACTTGTGTACCTGATCTTCAAGTCTGTATTATCGTCTGCATAAAAAAGCTTTAGATATATTGGGCCCTTTATTGATGCAGGCAGATCCATTTGCTCCTCTGTCGGTGTCCGGTTATTTTTGTTGAGCAGTCTATATTTTGCCAGCAATCAGATATGATGTTGATCAAAATGGTTGCCTTTGCCATTTGTACTAATCACATCATAAACGAAAAAATTCTGCTGCAAGGTTTTATGAAACATACTGATTTGCAGAATGACACAAGGTGTACTGGACTGGTTGTAATTGTTGTCCAGTAATCAATTTCGATATAGTAATTCAAACAGTTTACTTGTAGATGTTCTAATGATAATGATGTGAATGCTCTACATCAGAAAGAAATGGAGTTAGCTGCTGAAAATGCTAGACAACAATACATTACTGATCATCCTGAATTGGCAGGTTTAGAACTAAAATATGATCCTCAAAAACTTGTCAATGACAGTAAGTATTTTTGTCTTATTTTAATTGCTTATTTCACTAAGTCAGATTCTTCATTTTAAAAATGTGGTTCTGAAGAGGCATCATTGAAACTTGATGAGGTAAAACAGTGGCCTGGAAATTAAGATGAAATTTTATTTTACTCTTGTGTCTTGTAATTTGTATCAATTTGTTGATTCTTTAATTATATACAAACTTCAAAGTTTAAGAAAGGATAAAATGTATTGCATGTTATTTTCATTTCAGTTCAAAATGGAGGAGCCATAACAATGTAAGTGTTTTTGAATTTCCAAATATTCTTGAATTTCTATTTTTTTTTAAGATTAGGCTGTTGTCCAGCCAATTACATTGCTCAGAGTCTTTTGACATCTTTTTTCTTAGTAACTTTTAAAAGAATTGGTTGTTGATCATTATTCCAAATTGATGTGAATTGCAGAAATTAGAATTACGTAACATTGTCAACAAAAACAGTTTTTTTGTGCTCAATGGGAGAAAGCTTTGTGTTGTAGCTCTAATGATTTTTAAGCTACACAATTTTAACCTGCTTTATGTTTATGAATTAATTATGTTTAATTTTAAGGTATGATGATGATGATAATGATGATGATGATTATCCTGATGATGATGAAGATGGTTATTAGGATGATATTTACTAATGATTTGTTTAATTTGTCCACCATGCATTTAGGATGACAATTTTTGTTTTACTTGTCTTAAAATTGGAATTTTTATATTCAGAGCTATGGCAATATATATATTTATTTTAATTTAGGACAAAATAGTTTTATTGTAATCTAATCATAATCTGTCATCAGTGTGTCGATTTAAAATGGGATTAATTCTCAGTATTTGGATTATAACAGTAAGGGCATACTGCAAAAATCACATCAAAAATAAATGTACCAGTAAGGCAAGGCAATATATTCATATTTGTTTCATGTGAATAATCAAAGATCATATAAAGAATATATGAAGCAATAATATAGAGTATTTCTAAATATTTGCTTTACCAAATAATAGAGCTCAATATCAGTTATCTGTATTACTGTTTAATATTGAAATATGAAGTTCAACTTAGTGCTAGCAGTAGTTGTGTCATTATCACAATACTGGGGGTACAAATAGGGGGCAGACTGACTTAATTGGGGGACAACTGTCGATGTCTGATTTTGTAAGAACTGTGTCAGATTTCAATGATGTAATTATGTTTTAGCTGTATTTTATAAGCATTTATATCACTTAATACATGTAGTATATATTTCATTGTTACATTAATTATTTATACACTTTAGTTATACTTTATGATACTTCTTAATTCATGTTAATTGGTTAATAAGTTATTATACTTAAATTATATACTTTATTTAATTTACTAAAATAAAGACAATTTCTCCTTTGATTTTAATATTGATCATATACCAACTTACTTACTAAGGGTTTATGAAAATTGACTGAACCCGAAGCAGCTCTTGCAATCACCATTCAAGGCCACAGGGGTCAGGCCTATAGCTACATAGGTTCAAGGGGGGACAATACCCCAGCCTAACAACCGACCAGTTCCATTGCTGCAACTAAACACCAGACACCATTGCCCTTTAGGATATATTACTTGCCCCTCCGAACAATCAAGTCTGGCTACGGGCCTGAATGGTTAAGAAGGTGGTTAAAGTATTAGTTGTTGTTAACTTTTCAGCTTCATTTGGCTGTACAAAAAGTGGATGGTAAACGTCTGTAATTTGCTCTGTTGAGGCCAACACAGTGGTTAATTGACATAAAAATAGACAAATTCTACTTGACTTGTTACATCACTGCACAGTGCATTTCTCATCTTCATTGACCCAATTAAGCGCAGGATACTATAAAAATACACATTTTTCATTTCATTTCCATTGTTAGAAAGAAACAGACCCTGGATGACATGTTTCGAATGAAAATAACAAAACCAGAACGGAAGTTTGGTAGAAAACTTGTTGGATTACAATGAAAACAAAACGTATCTGAAAAACATGAATAGCCACACCACAATGACCTGATAGTGGAGTTAAGACAAAGTAATTGAATCATTGATACTGAAAAGGATGAATTTTCTGAAGATAAATAAATTAGGGACATTTTAACCCAATAACCAGTTTTTCTTTTCTTTTTTATCAAAAAAAATTCTATTTTGTTCAGTTGGGTACATTAAGGCGATTTGACAAACCCCCTTGTTTACTTGTGATGCACTCTTTCGGAGTTCATATCATTTTCTTTATGGAAGCAGGAATAAATATTTCCAACCATTAAAGCCTCCGTTTATGTTTTTTCAATAAAGAACAATCATCATTTGATCTTGATATCACTGTTCGTTATGTTTGACATGTTTTGATTTTAACACTCATGTTGGGTGGTGTTGAACATCAGATTTGACGTAAACATTCTTTTTACCACTGGAATTTCTTTTCTCATGGAAATGTTCACAAATTATTTATCACTATGAATAGTGTTCGTGAAACAATACAGTTGTTAGCACAGATATTTATTGAAAATGGAACCAGTGACATATCAGCTGAAATATTCCGACAGGCCAAATTTAATAAGAATGAAGCCGTAAGTAATTTCTTTGAAAAAGTCCGAGAAACTCTGAACCCTATTTATTTGCAAGCTCTGATAGATATGATTTTGTTTTGAAGGCTTGAGAAAAATGTACCATTTTTTGTTATAGAGCCAACATTTTCATGTTAAAAGACTCTTGCTCCCTTTTATTTGTATCAATGCCCTTTAACTCCAAACATTCTTCCACTTGTCAAAAAGATTCATTCTTATTACCAGTGCCCACACTGCTGTACTTTCGTAGTGCCAGTGGATGGACCAAGTCTTGCCGTGGTCAGTCTTGCCTTTCAAGACAACTGATTGAAATTACAGATTGTCCCTATAGTTTTGATTACTTTTGCTAGGGGCCTGGTAATTAGAATGAGCTGTAGTGTAGTTGCTGTAGATCAGAATTTGGTTCTTATGCTAAATTTAGTAGCATGAGGAAGATAATATGTTATATTGGAATGTTCAACTCATTCTGTGATGTAACCCTTTGTTCATTTGTAGGTACGTGTCTTATGGAAGTTACTATTTGAATTGATATATTTTTGTAAATATGGTGAGATAGATGAAGCAACAATAAAAGCTCAATTTAAACTAACTCCAGGTTATCCCCATGTCTATTATATCAAACATTCTTGTCTTTGTCTTTATACTACATAAAAAAAACCCAATACATCACATAGTAAACTAGTTTTGGTGATCCCCATGATATGTAGTCATTTTTAGAGAAAGGGGAAGTCAATAACATTATTTTTATAATGGTGAATTTGATTTGCATTAAAAATTTATTAGCTTACTGGTATACTGTTAGGCTATATATACTGGTAATAAATTGTAGACTTGTTTAGGTTTTTGTTTTGTAGAAGAAAAATGTGTTTATGTGAAGCAAGAATTACAACATTTAGGTTACTTATTGCCTGATTTCGCCTGTTTGTCTAATCATGGTAACACTGGAAGTCGGGAACTACTCCTAGCATTAGGATGGTTAATGTGTCAACAAAATATACTGGAGAAATTTATGCAGAAATGTAGCTCACCACTAGATGATGACACAAGTATATTTTATGAGGTACAGTGATAGATTACTTTTCATTTTAATGGCTCCCAAAAAGTTGCAGCTATTTTGATGTTAGGTTATTGCTCTTAATTTTAATCTATCAAAATAAATGTTCCCTAGATGAAAGCTGCCATAGAATTTTTTGCTGTGTGTATGTTGAGCCTTTATATTGCCACTGCTGTTTTGTATGTATATGTGACCCCTGGCCCTATAGATACTAATTTACAGTGCTATAATTACTGGATTGCATTTCCTGCTTACTCTACATATTAGAAGACTACTGATTTTTTGTGTGTATGTTTGTACTAAGTTAAGGCTTATATCTGTCTTCATGTTGGTTATATGATTATTATTTCAGAGTTATTTAGATACTGACAACAAACATTCAGCTTTATTCCAGTCATCATATAAAATTGAACCACAAGCAAAAATACAGAAATTATTAATGTTAAATGGCAAATTACAGTTAAACCTTAGAAGAATGTACGCTTTACAGATACAAGATGCTAATCTAAGTCACAAGGTAAATTAGAAAAATAAGACAAATATCGATTTATAACCTTAGTATTTACCTAGTCCAATATTTTGGGTTTGAGCTATGTATTATGAAAGTTCTTCAGGATTTATTGTGATGTTCTGTGATTGAGGTCAAAGCGCAAGTAAATATTTAAGTAAGTATTTAAGTTCCAGCTTATTTAATTCAGTGTCTAATATCTTGATCATTTTAGATTCATACGTGTACAAATGGTGTTACTTTATCAACATATAGAAATCATCTAACTCCATTTGAAGTCCGGTTATTAAGATATCCCAACCATTTGAAAAAGGTAACAAACTATGAAGTTCCTTTTACTATGTTATTGGTTTAGTCATACCTGTGATAAGCTCACAAATTGTTGTAAGATATTTACATGGCTCCCATTCTGGCCAACAGGAGACAAAATCCCTAAATAAAACTAAACAGAATATACTTTACTGTCAACTATTGTTTATTTCAGATGTTGGAATTATTAGAAAAAGATAATTACAGACTTCAGAATTTATTATTATGGAAAGAGAAAGAACATATATTTTGGAGTTGGATGGTAAATAGATTAGTTCATTCCTTCAATTATTAATGCTTCATTCCTTCCCCCTCCATTCATTCATTCATTTAGTATGTTTATAGTCAACTGTTGATGATATGTAAATTGTTGAAACGTTGTGTAAACAAAACTCACAAGTATTCAATATGATTATGTTTGCTGTGGTATGTTTATAGGAGAGTGTTTTAGAGTTAAAAGTAAGTGAGAAATCAGAAGATACTGTGACTTATTGTAATACTGTACCAGTATATCTTGATATACCACCTAATATAGACCATGAAATATCTACCAGTAGAAAACATCTAGTTGAAATAATTCTACAGTATGAAGACATTATAGATCAGCTAGAAATATTGTGGACCAAAAAGGTAGATTTCTAAATCTTTATGTCTACAATCAAATACGAACTCTAAACTTTGACATTGTTAGGTACTTTTCCTATACACAATAGCAATCAAATACATCCAATTAGAGAAAAGTGCCTCATGATGTCATTACACAGAGTTTGTGATAGCTTGACATCGTGAAGATGTTGTCATATAAACAGATCTAAATTTGCCTTAAAACAGGGACATAACAAGTACTGCTTGTCAAGCTCAATTTGGGACACAAGTTGATATAGTCCAGTTTTCTGAGGTGGCACGATGTTGAACACATATGAAGTTCTAGGTCTATTTTAGCATTTCTATGTTTCCCAGATGTTAAAGAATGTTAAAGGGTTCGGTTTGCACAAACAAAAAAATGTCTTATATTTTCCCCCAGGCATAGGGCATGTTTTGGTTTTACAAGTGATGGATTTGGGGTATTGGTTTGTTAAGATAAGTCATACCTGCCTTTATAAAAAGTTTGCTGCCCATGTTCTTAAATTTGATATTTTTTAGCATGAAGACATCAGCGAACAAGATTTGGATAATCTTCTAACATCAATCAATATGGAGATTGCTTTTCAGAGGGCAAATCTATCATTGTCATCAAAACGAAATATTGTAGAGCCTAAAAAACATCCTCAATTTATTCTTAAAGACCAGAGTAAGAAATCAGTCCGTCCTTCAAAACATTTAGCTCCGGCTTTTCTGGGAGGTCAAGGTGATTGTCCAGGAGTAGATATTAATATTGCTATTAAAGATATAGAGAAACGAATAGAAGATTTAGAACATGATCTGCTAGTTGATCAAGGAATATGTAAGACAGACATGGAAAAAATGTCTACATCAGTTCCAAATTGTATTTTCATTCCACCATTAGCTTTGAAAGGAAGATTTTAGATATGTTATATATGTTTATATTTGTTATTGTTATTTTTTGTTATCAAGTCAATTTCAATGTTGTTATTTAAGTTATGCAAAATCTACTTAATATCTGCTCAATTTATACTTTAAAATATTATGATGGCTCAATTTTTTTAAAGATGGACTGTCGAAAAACAAAGATAAATATATTTCATGAATATTCAGCTTATTATTGCAAAACACTGTAGCCTTCTGATGGCAAAAATTTATTGCAAGAATTTTTTAAAAAAGGAAATCTTTGATGGAATTTTGTTTTGTTATGTAGAATATTGATATCTTGGATGAGTTTGAATTAGACAATATTTCGAAGGTCTTTGTTCAAATGCCTCAAACAAACTTGCCAGTGTGATAAAAGCTATAGTCCTGAGAGGGAATATTTTCTTATAGTCTTGTGTTGTAATAGAATTCTAGTCATTTTAGTAATCTCATCCTTTGATAAAACAGTAGTATGTGGACAAATAGTAAACCTATCACATGTATTTATGTATAAGAAAGTCACAAACTGCAATTTGCACATTTTATTATTTTTATTGGTTATCATAGCTAGAAATCTTAAAATTTATTTGTTTTGTCATTGATGAAGATGAAGTAGGTATGCAGATTTTTTTTTATGAATAATTTATTCAACTATTTAGGATATATTCAGAGAAAAAAATTCTTAATATCAGAATCTAAAGAAAGACATATTTTTAAATGGTTGTCCAAAGATAAAATGGTATAGCAAGTCAGAATATGTGTATGTAGTTCTTAGACAGAAATGAAAGGACATGACTTACATTATGTACTAAGATCCAGCTTAAATCTGGTCATCTACTCTACTTGTTTCAGTGTCATATATATCAAATTCCCTCCAAATATAAAGTCACATTGTTGTTAAGGTTAAGATCAAATATTTTATTGTTTACAGTTATTTAAATTGTTATATTTTCAATAAAGTTATTTTTATGATTTAATAGGGTTTTATTTATATGTCAACTTTTTGACTTCAAGCGCTGACATGTTTATCTTTCCTGAAAAAAGAAGATGGGATCTATAGCCGATTAGATGATGGTCCATTTTGTTAACATATTTCTTCTGGTGAAGTAAATATTTAACTAACCCCTTCAAAATAAAATGTAAAAAATAACAATTTTGTTTTTTAATAATTTTAACCACCACATTAAATAAAGAATAAACAACAAAACAATATTTCATCAAAAATATTTCATATATCTTTAGAAAAAAACAAGATGTATTGTAAATACCTTTAGGAAATTATATCCATTTGATTAAGAACATATTACAATTAATCAGCTTATAATAGGCAAGATTAAAAAAAAAACAGAACACATACATGAAAATGAATTACAATAGAAAATAAATACAAACTTGTCTTATTTCTTCTGACACTTTTTGTGCCAAAAGTAACAAGTCATTTCCTTATGATTATGGTATATTATGAGCTAGATAACAATCTTACCAGCTTAACATTAATAAACATTCTAACCTCCCACCTTATAAAATGTTACACAAGCAAATGAAGCCCTATAAGATGTACACCTTTCTAATGCAAAAAAGCTGCAGCAAGAAACCAATTGGATCACATCCAATAGAGATGTTTTGAACTAGATGGCAAGCTGAGATACGCCCTAATGTGTACTTTATTGATACACTGCAAAAAATGTTGACCCAGACACAAATATATTTTTATAAAGATCATACCACCAGGGTATAAAACAGATCATAAAATTAAAAAAAGCAAGAAATCATTAACATTTGATTGTAAAGTGATATAGTATTCAAAATATAAAATCAGAAAATTACTGATAGCTTCATTACTGATACCATAATTATTTTATAATTATATTACTTCATCACTTCAATACTGGAATTTTGATTTGATATTCTCTCTCTTCTGACACCTGATGCCACTCTACAACCAAATTTTAAACTGATTATTATCATTATAACAAGTTTTGTCAATCTTTTGGATAGTCCACCTGAGTTAAATACAAATTGTGATTAAAATCGCAGAAATATAAAAAATACGATCCGTCTATACAACTCAATGGTACTAATTGACCAATCAGATGGTCGGAAGACATCATAATTTTTTGTCACTTCTTTGAGAAACTTGTAGAAGGAAATTCTCTAGTTTCTCTGATCAACTATATTTTCAATGATGTTAAATACTATAGTTGGCATAGAGATAAGAAAAGGTTGAGCAATACACATGGCATATATTCAATACTTTACAGTGAAATTGATATCTGGTATAAGGACTGTGTTGAAACATTTCTAAGATATTCTCAGATTATTTTATGGAGAATCCCCTTGCTAGACATAGGCATCATATTAATGTCAGTAACAACATTTATAATAACATGGGTAAATTTATGACAATATTGGAATTTAATGCTTTGTTGGAATTCTGTCGTTACAATTTATGCCACGTTTCCCTTTATTGAATCTAGTCTAAATTATGAAAGATTATAATTCATCTTTTTTGTGAATGTGAGCAACTTTTGGTTCATCTGTTTTTCTTTCTTTATATAATCTTGAATTACCGAGACCTATTAACTCAGCTCTAGCTTCCATATCTTCCATTTTATCATCATTTTCTGTTTCTTGTTCCTCTTCTACAATAAAAACCATAATAACATAGAAACATATTGTATTCATCACCTAAATTGATGGAATTGTGCATAATTCTGTACTCATCAAGTAAACTTCTGTATTTATCACCTTAATCAATGACCTACTACACAACTTCTTGTATTTATCACCTAAATCAATGACATAGTACACAACTTCTGTATTTATCACCTAAATCAATGACATAGAACACAACTTCTTGTATTAATCACCTAAATAAATGACATAGAACACAACTTCTGTATTTATCACCTAAATCAATGACATAGAACACAACTTCTTGTATTAATCACCTAAATAAATGACATAGGACACAACTTCTGTATTTATCACCTAAATCAATGAAATAGAACACAACTTCTTCTATTAATCACCTATATAAATGACATAGAACACAACTTCTGTATTTATCACCTAAATCAATAACATAGTACACAACCTCTTGTATTTATCACCTAAATCAATAACATAGTACACAACTTCTGTATTTATCACCTAAATCAATGACATAGAACACAACTTCTGTATTTACCACCTAAACCAATGACTTAGAACACAACTTCTGTATTTATCACCTCAATTGATGACACACAACACATCCTTTGTTATTCATCATATTATGAAGTAATGACATAGTAGGCCTACATGAATTCTGGTTGGACTAGTGACTTAAAGGGAGGATATTTGTAAGGGAGGATATTAAATGGTAGCTAGATTAAATTGAAAACTTGTCAAAACATTATTGTAAGAATAGCCTACATACGTGAATCTATAGTTAAATTAGGAGATCTTCCACCATGTTCATTTTCAAAATCCATAATGGCTAGGAAATCATAGCTTCTACCTGGTGGTTTCCATTCACCAGCTTTTAAAAAATCTATAAAATCAATATGAAATATAATACCATTTTTTTTGGAAGGCCAAAGCCTTCTATAACTTAACAAATTCACATCAATCTTTTAAGATTTTTCAATGAATATTTGCATCAAACAGCCATATTTTTATCATATTTTTCCAATTGATAATGATTAATCCTCATCTAATTACCAATTATGATTAATCTTCAAAATAAAGATCCATTAACTATTATTATTGAACTCAATAACTTACTTGATGGTTGTAAATTTTGCTTAGAAACACCATTTAACCAATTTGTTATAGCTGTTTCTGTAAACTCTTCACCAGCGAAGTTAAAAACATCACCCTACAAGTAAAATAGAATTCTGTGTCACAGTAATGCCTTAATAAATGTAGCAATACCTGCCATTTATTGGTTCACTAACAAAACGCTTTCTAAGTCTTTTCTGATTGGTCAATAACTTTTCATTCAATCAAATTTCTGTCTTTTAATTATGAGAATTTACAGTTTTGATTTTTCTAGCAAAGTTAAAACCCACCTTCCTATTGTTAACAATAGATAATGCTGGAACTTTAACCTCATTTTGATATTCTTTTAAGATTTTCTCCCCTGTTCCTTGGTTACTGTGTCTGAAATGTGAAAAATAAATTGGAGTTTTGGAGTTTGACATCTTCTCCTGATTCGGCAAGCCATTGAGCAAATAAAGAGAAAATTTTGCAGATTCATAAAAATTTAACTTCCCTTTTAGATTTCCCACTGTCTACTGTAGCCCAGAGAGCATCAGTTTAATGTCCTATCCAAATGTCCTATCCTCATATCCTGAGGTTTTTCAATGTCAACAACTCTAGACGACAACAAACCATCTGAATTGTTGCACATATAAATCGTGGTTTGCAGGAAAATTAAGAAATCTTTAAACATATAATTTACTTACATATCCATCCAACAGAAGATAAATTGAGAAAATTGGCCAGATTTTGATAAAGTTGCTACTGTTTCTTTAGTATATATACTAACAGTTTCATCTAGAAATAATATGACTAATGGCTTCCCTTGTTGATAGAATTCAGGAAAAGTCATAGGCGTTAGTTCTGGCTGAAATAACCAACAAATTAAGACTTCATAAAAAATAGAACAGATATTTGGGTCTTGAATATATGCAAATAGTCTTCAGAAGTACAAGAATTGCAAGAAAAAAGCATAATCCCTTCAAATGTACCGCAATCTAGAAATTTCACTTTCTATCTGGACATACATGGAATTGATGGTTCAATGGTGAGTTGTAATTACTGATTAGCTGAACTAAAAAATTCCTGTTTCTGAGACTTAGGTTTGATTGGTCCAACAGATGATGAATAAATAAACCAAGTACAAACGATCCAAAGTAGGAATCCGTCCTGTTAAACCATCTGAAAACTGCATGAAAAAAAATTATTTTCAAATCAATATTCCAAAAATCCTGAAAGATCTGTGCTCAGAAATAATTATATAAACAGTTCTTACCAATGTAGGTATTTTTTTACTCTGTATAAAAGATTTGATATTATCTACAGTAAAATCTGAAGTTAAACCATCATCTTTTTTATATTGATCATTATGTCTTATTATAATAATAGCTGGTCCTTTCACTTTAACAATACTATAAGTAAATAAAATATAGAATACAAGTATAGCCAACAACATTGGGCTCATGCAGAAATTTTTTCTATAATTGCACACTCATTCTTCAAATCTATTCATTTTAAAAAAGGGACATATAAGAATATCTAAATATTTCATTATTGTTGATTATTTAGCAATACTGTATTTCTATGTCAAATGTAGGCCTATTTTTTGTTTCAGCAATAATTCTTTTTGATTTGATTTGAATTTCCATTTAATTTCCTCATTATCTATCATAAATACCTTTTAGCTACTTCACTATCTGTAAGACCAAATACCAGAGACATCTGATACTCTTTTATAACTGTTTTAAATGCTTTTAATTCTGAAATACACACAATATTATCTGATTTCAAGACATGTTTAGTGAATAAAAATCATACAATCATGTAAATTTTCTATTCACCAAACGTTAAAATCAAGACACCATCAGAAGTCTATGAATGGACCAATAGATCAACAATGGTAAAGATGATGTAGTTGAATTAAAAAAAAACTAGGCCTACTTTATCCTTGGGAATTGGCTTAAGTCTAAGTTTTCTGAAGTTTGTTTCACAAAAATATCTTATGTCAGATTTAATTACTTTGTTATTGAAAAGCAGACTAGTCAAGAGTTTTGGTAAAAAGCTATAAATCAACAGTCTGAATAAAAAGTATTAGTAAAACTACAAAAACCTTACCATCTTTATGATTTTTATCAAATACACCTAAAACACTTGTATTGGTTATCTGGTTTAGGTTTTCTGGAAATTTTCCTTGTATGAAATCCCCTACAGCTTGATTAGTACCTAGTTTCACTGGACTGTTTATTTGTAATCTAGAAAAATAAATACCAAATAAACATTGTTAGCCATTTGGATATAGAAATCTCATATTACGATACAAATTCTAATAATATGGTCTTGTACCATAATTTTCTTTTTCACATTAAAAAGGATTATCAATTCCATTCTGCACTAATTTTTCATGAGAATAACTCCTTAACAATGAGCATATCCTTAAAGCATACACTCGAAAGGCCAAATATAAAATGGCAGTAAATACTTTTAACCCATTCTCAATATTTCATATTTCATGGGCAATAACTCATCAAAACTTTGACGAAATTTAATGAAAAACAAATCTGGCAACACATATATAAGGAAATGCCTTTCTTTGGGATCCTAAAAAAGTTAGGAGTGCGAATGAACAGAAAATATGAACACGTAAAAATGTTACTTACAACTTGACTGTATTAACTACTGCTTGAACATCAAAAGCACCACGATAATCATTCACATATTTACCATTTTGATATAATCTAATAGTTGGATAGCGTGAAATATTCTGTTTACCACAAACATCAGTCCAATCATAACAACTTAAACTAGCTAACTGACTCTTCTCATCTTTTAACATTTCAGCTGATTCTCCGAATATTCTTAAAACAGCCATACTTTTAGCATCAACTACAATTTTACAAAAAAACTCATATCAAGAAATTACAAAGCATGATATAATTCATCAAGTAAAGTTTGTTTTGATATAATGAGGTATGGATCTGAGAAAAATGATGATGAAATGCAGAAATCACAAAGTCGACAATCATCTCAATATCCATAAATATTTACTGTGTTTCGAACCTTAGGTTCCCTCAAACTTATAAATTATGAAGAAAACATACTTTTCTCTCTACTGTTTATGGGCCTTCTCCATGAAGTGTGGAATGAGGATTTTTTTTATTTAGTAGAGTCTTTAAGGTTAAAAGTTTAGATATTATGGTATTTCAAAGTATATCATTATAAGTATATGATTTATATTTATAAACTTCTTTATTAGTCCCAAAAGCACTACATTCAAAGGGATTGTAAGAGGTCTTCTAAATTTTTTATCTGTATCACAGACTCATCAATTTGAACCATCCCAATTTTCAATCAACATCTGTGACTCCTGCAATATTTATGAAACCAAGGGTTTGATGACGTCACTTATAGCCAAATATATTTTGTCAAATAAGACCTTCGCATTTAGTAATATCATCAATCATGAAGTTTTAATGGAATTGCATGAGCCACAAATATCTGATTGAAATTGTAGCACATGAGGCCTCGGTTTATTGTCTCATCCGAACAACTAGACGCTTTTTCCATGTCAGCCCCTCTTACCTGCATCACAGACAGGGGGAAACTCATGTGATTTAATACTTACAATGTAAATAAAATAGAATAAGTAATATGCTGCTATCTTTAACAGTTGGTTTGAATGTTTCATCTTTTAACTTTATAACGTGGTCTAAAGACATTGGTGTTTTAGAGGTATGATATACTGAATAGGCTACTTTATCATCTTGAGTTTCAACTGAAATATAGAATCTTTCACAATGAAGAGTAAAATTGAAGCTAACGTCTGCAATTTCAGTTGAGCTTTCAACTCTTGTCTGATATTTCTGCAACAATTTCACTGGAATACATTTTTGAGAATTATATGGCATCACAAAGACCCAAAACATGGAATATTGTTCCAAAACCAAAGGACAACATAACTTACTGAAAATCATCTTGGTGACTAAGTTTGAATCCTTTAAAACAATTAGCATTAGGTGTTTTATCTACATTAGGTGACATTTTTGTTTAGTATTAAATAGGTATATCACATCAGATTCTAGTATTTTCACTTTATTAAATGTAATTAAATGTATTAGTGTGCTAATCATATACTGTTGATCAGTCACCTAACTAACCTTCATATACTGTTGATCAGTCACCTAACTAACCTTCATATACTGTTGATCAGTCACCTAACTAACCTTCATATACTGTTGATCAGTCACCTAACTAACCTTCATATGCTGTTGGTAAATCATATTTAGCTCTGACAGATTCCTCATTATTAGCTTGTACTATTTCTCTCACTTCATCATCATCAACATCGTCTTCATCATCATCACCTTGAAACTCTCCTTTCTTATTAAATAATGTTTCTGATAGAAAATTATAGATGTTTTTCTCTGACCAAGGTTGAGACATAAATACTGGTTCATTCTGTTACATGAATAAATTATAGACATTCAAAATAAACAAACAAAATATATTCACTGTTAACGTAGTGCTACATACATCAATTAGTAGAGCAATACAGAAATATTAAAACAAAACCTGAAACATGTTGTTACTCAAGAGTTTCACACTGTGCGATCATTAGATAACTACTGTATTTCAACCTGTGTCAGATGATTGTACAGCAACAGTATGTTTCAGGTTCTGTTTTAATATTTCTAAAAAAAATACAAATATATAAAAATACTTCTTTACAAAGAAACAATTTTTCAGCAAAAATTGAAATGAATTAAATGGAGCTTTACATCATACTTTTCTGCACCGGAGAGACAGGCAACACCATTAAGTGTGCAATGACGCAAATTGCCAAGACATCAGCAAAGGTCTGCTCTTTTTTATTTCAAACTTTTAACATGCATAGACTATGGCACACAGGACCTCGGTTTATTAGTCCATTGGAACTATTAGATGCTTTTTCCATGTCAGCCCCTCAGACCTGCATCACTGAGAGGGGGAGACTTGGTTGAAAAATCCAAAGGTACTATCTTGACCTATGCTGGAATTGAACCATGGATCTTCCGGTTAGTGAGCAAGAGTCTTACTCACTGAGCCACTGTGGCTCCAGCTAAACTTTAGCTAACATTTATAAACATTTTAAACAAGTCTACAATAAGTTTAGTAGTTAAGATAACTTTCAAATGATTTTCAGATCATTAATTTGGAAAAGAAAACCGTGGATTTTATTCAATATAATAATATTATGATATTAATAAATATAAATTACCTTAGTATATAACAAAACACCTATACCTGGTATTTTAACATGAGTCAATACCTCTGTCATCTCTGGTGGCATAATAGATCTGATAAGACAATTAGGTACATTAGTAATGGCTAACTAACTAAAGGTGCCCTCACACCATAGTGCTTAACAGTTGCATATTGCGTATGATTCAAGTTGCAATGAGTTGAGTTTCAGAACTTCATTACTAAGTTGCATGAGAGTTGCGTTGAAACTTATGACCACCATTCTTATTTGCAACCATACGCCATTGGTGATCGCTAAAATGTGAGGGCGACATTTTGGACTGGATAGTGTAATAACACTTTTCTCAATAATTGAGTAAAAATGCGAAAATGTACAATGCATTTGAAAGAATATAGCTAATTGAACTAAACAGAATATCTTGTGAATGGATTCCACTATACTGTAAATATATTGCACTCAACTTAATGGCAAAAAGCAAATACAGTATTACAAACTCAACCTTTTGGCAAACTGCAGAGCAATCAAACCTCTGAACATTCCAGAGCGATCCAACTTAAATCATACTTACTTATCAACCAATTGAATTCCAGCAACACCATGTAAATCATATTTATATTTCTTAATTATTTCCTTGACATCACTATTAGTTTCTTTATCATACAGAAAATAAACTACATCTAATTTTTCTTTTAAATGTTTATCACCATCACTCATTGTCTTCAATTCAATCTACAAGTGGAATAACTCATGGAAAATGTTTTGATTTTTGTTTTTGATTTTATATCATATAAACCCCAAATACAACCTGTATGTTTTTTTGGGGCTTTTGTCAAATGATGATGATTCAATTCCTGAAAATGTCTGAGAGGGATTTATGGGTAAATTACATATATAAATTCCAATGTCAACTTACAAAAGGTGGTAAGGACAAAGCACGTAAAAATTTAGCTAATGAAGGTAGATCCATCTTTCTTTCATATTTGACATCAATACATTGGTCAGTGGATTTTTCAGCTTTTTCCTTACAATGTAACACCCAAATCACAGCTAATGTAGAGTCTGTTATATCTTCAGATTCTCTGAAAAACAAAACATGAAAAGAGCTATAAAGATACCAATTGCTTTCATGATATTAAATTATACCAATAGACAAATACATCGAGAAAGCAGCAATGAGGAATTTATTTTGGAATAAATTATTTGTCCCCAATAGACAATTTTTGAGACTTAGGGAAAAATGAAGTAGGGTTCTACACAAAGATAACCTTTCAATTGAAAATGGTGAAGTGTCCAGTGAGGAAAATTTATTCTAAAACATCATTTGACCATTGTTTTTAGATTTTCAGTTCAGGGATATCAACCTCCATTCATTGTCTCTTTTAAATGACAAGACTATGTTTCCAGCGCTCAAATTTGATCTAAAGGCTAGCAGACAAGACCTTTCTTACTTCAGATTGGCAACAGCTTCTTTCTCTGTGGTAACAGCAAATGAATACTTGTCTTGATAGGCAAATGCTACTTCCATAAATATTCTATGTTCTGAAATGATATGTTCACATCTATTGTCAATACAGAACATACCATATAATGTTCTTCGGTATTAGCAATACATTACATATTACTCAAAGAACTGTTCTACAATGATTTGAGCATCCATAAATTATCTGTGGATCAAAACTTACATGATATCTTTCAATCCATATCAGGACCTCTTATATTCAAAATGGATCTGCTGTCATATTGGTATGTTTATCATATCTTTATTGATTGAGTTAAATAGTATCTTCAAATGATCCAAATGATTGTTGTATCATTTTATATCTTTCACAATTAGTTTGGTCATTTTAATTTCATGGCTATGTAATGCTTTCAGTAATTGGATTTATAATATGACAAGTCTAATGTATGAAATGTGATCAGTTTCACAGTTTGTGTATGTTAATGGATTAATCAGTTAATAATTTTAGACTGGAGAATTGTTTAGCTCTCTCAATATCACAACAAACAATATCACAGCAAACAATTTCCTAGAGAAATAGAGTAGAGAATGAATCAAATAGAAACAGGACAATTTATCTCATTTATACTAGACCAGCCAGTTGTTTTAACACCTTCCACCAGATTTCACTTCTGCAAATTTTATGTCAGATGTTCTTTATCAATGAATGGCCAGAAGTGATATTTGTCACTTGATTTGTCAGGTATAAAATGAATTCTGATTACGGAACTAACACATATTTCAAAATGTCATATTTCTGTTAGTATCCTGTTACAAGTTGTTTGCGTGTATTACTATAAATATGTTGGCTCACTATATTAGCAAGACTTAGACATGATAGTAACAAGTTACCATATTTTTAGAATGTATCACCCTTGTCCAACACGCAGTGATATTATCTTAATTGAACTAGAACTGTGAACAGCTCCGAGAATGGTATGAACCCTTATCTGATAACTTTTTTCAACCATGGTGCTTTTAGGCCTGCCATTTAATTAGTCAACAAGTGCAAAGAAAAATTTAGAAAAACTGGACTTAAAGTCAATGGCATTTGCATGTTCTCTTGTTGGTGTCTGGATAATCTAATATTTCTAACAGTGATATCTTATTTTAGAATAATATGTATTTAACTTGTTATTCCACTTTAACATAAATTTCCTTTCAGAACAGTAGTTTCTATTTGACAGGAATACCAATGCTTGGTTCAATAAAAATTTTCTATTTTTAAAAATAAAACTGTCCGAACTAGTCATTTTGACTTTTTGGTTCCATTCGAAAGCTCGTAAGAGCGCAGATCTTGTGATCAGAACCCTTATTCCTGGCTTGATCGTAAATGACCCAAAATCACCAATTAAATAACACGTATATAAACAGTCAGATTTAAAGCCTTGTAAAATATTATATACAAGGCTTCAATAATCTTTTTTTCTTCGGATGAAAACAGAAAAATACTGCAGTATAATAAGAATTATTGGGTGTTAAGTAAGAGTTTATATTGCCAAAGAGTGAAAACCACAAATAGTGAAGAAGATAATATTAAATAGCATTTTAACCAAATAGGTGTACTATTGTACTTACAGTTATTTCAAGCGGTTACCCACAATATTAAATTAATTAAACATTTTATAACAGTGTAAAATAGTTTATTTCGCTATAAAAATGCTAATTGGTCTCCATTTTGTAATAATGCACAGTTGGTGATTTAAAAAATTAAAAGTTATCATATTTCAATTTAGAGCTTTCTGATAGGTAAAGATGACATCTTTCTTGCCTCTACTTCTATCTATCAATTCATCTCGGTCCTTTAAATTTTGAATGATGGGAACTTCTTGTAGCAGAACTAACCTAAATTTAACAAAATAAATAATATTACAGACATTTTGATCCATGGAAACATTTCATGACATTAAAATAGAATCACTGTCTAGTTCCATGGAAAACAAATTCAATTCCAACCTTAAAAATACTAAGATAAACAATTAGTATCAAATTCAATATATATACTTTCCAGTCAACCTATCAATTTAAAAACAAACACAGCAGTTAGTAAACACCAGTAAAACATTCAATAAATTCATAGACATAAAAAACAATGGTATACCTCAAAAAAATTATAATATTATTCAAAAAAATATACCAGATGAAGTGATGAATCAATTTGAATTATTCATTTCAATTCTTGAATAAATCAGAATAACATACATGAATACTCTGAATCATTCAAATAATTGAATTAAGAATAGAACAATTCATTCATGAATTATTTATTCATAAAAATGATCATTATGAATAAATCAAAATCTTCAAGGATAAGAAATCAAATTACTGTATTACATCAGAATTTGATTTACAAATCAAAGTATATATCTATTTAAAGGCCTCCATGCATTTATGACAAATATGACAAATTTCACTAATACTTCTAAAGATTTCAATCAATACAACAAATAGCAATGAAAGGAAAAGCTATGATTAGAGGAAACGTTTCCTTTAACATTATATTAATGATACAATTACCGGTACAGTCTTATACATACCAATATACACTGAAATAGGTGATAAAATGAGTTGATTAAATATTATATTCTGACAGTATTGTAGGTTGAATTATTATTTATACAATGACAATCTTTGTTTGTATAAAAGAATGATGATAAAATGAAATGGTATAAAAATGAATTATGGAAAATAACCACTATAAATAATATGGCAGATGACAAACTTTTAAATGTCACAATGGCATCAAATGCCATACATTTCATAAAAAAAAACAATTAAGTAAAATTATCTGGAAAAAATTACTTCTTCGTAAAGCATTAAAACAATATGGAACATTTTGAAATATGAACTAACTAAAATATATGACATCAAATGTTGAAGTTGCTCAAGATTGAGAAATATTTTTTGTTCTTATTGGATGCAGATTTGTACAAAATTTTGGTTTTTTTGTACATCGTGAAGACTATTGATGACCTTTTAAAATAATAATATTTATATTACCAATACAAGATCTATTTGGGACAGCCACTTAAATTTGGCATAGATACAATACGTTTTTGGCTTTTATGAACTTAAATCCTAGACTAGTCATTTCAAAATTCCATACTGTCAAGATAAGAGTATGAAGTTAAATAATTCATTGATAGAAGTGATTTGTAAATATTTGTTATTTTATTGTCAATATTTGTTTTTGTCTTCAACCAGATTTACATACTAATATTTCTCCAAGTAAAAAATTGTTATTATTTACTATATATTAAATTTGTTTACAAATACAGATCATATTAATATATATATACTTGTTATCAACACTTAATACTATGTGGGGGTTAGGACAATTTTTAAAAATTTATATATGACTCAAAAGAGGTTTTCTTGTCTATTAAAGCATTTTTCCATCCAGAATATGTGGTTCCTGTAATTCTAGAAAAGCTTGAACAGATTATGACAATCATAGCACAAAAACCATCATGCTTTTATATTGCCTGCTATAGCAGAATCAGTATTCCAGTCTAGCTTTTCTGGATTTACAGGATCAATAGGCGTCAGATCGGAATCCAAGAAAATAGATTTTCAACAAAAAGCACTAGAAGCTCATCAGGTTTTACCAGAATCAGTATTGTTGTGAAAACTATATTGTAATTCAATTGAACTGAATTCTAAAATTCTCTATAGAGATCAAGAAACTTCATTACTGGTTTTGAGGAATATCAGGAAGCCAAGACGACAAGTTGAAGATTAATCAAGATTTGACAGGAGACACTTGTCATCATTATCAGAGTCAATTCCAGTAGGAAATCAATTTGATAGAGAATTATTTGACTTAATGACTTGTTGATTAGCATTGCTAATAGAACTCTTACAAACTACACTCTTATATCTAACATTTAAATCTTACATCTGTAGGACTTAATATTGATATTTAGATTGCTGTGCATAATGAAAATTCTTCTGAAATTACAATATTTTTTGTCTATCTGCATCTTGGAATGTAACATTTCAAGCACCTGATAGTACTTCTCTTTGGAGGAGTCCACCACTATACAATTATTTTGGATGCAATTTTGATTAATGGAATTGTCTTGCTTGTATAGATTTTTATCAATGAGTTCTATAATAAAGATATTCTTCAAATTGTATTAATCTAAAAAAATACTTACTGCAAAACATTGGACATGATAGAATTTACATCAAACATGGTTTCTAAATCTAGAATTAATAAGTCTTCACCACTTCTACAATAAAAATATAAAATATTTTATAGATATGACTTTTAATTCAAATTTATAGATATCATCTTAATTCAAATTTATAGATATCATCTTAATTCAAATTTATAGATATCATTTTAATTCAAATCTATAGATATCATCTTAATTCAAATTTATAGATATCATTTTTAATTCAAATTTATAGATATCATTTTTAATTCAAATTTATAGATATCATTTTTAATTCAAATTTATAGATATCATCTTTATTCAAATTTATAGATATCATCTTAAATCAAATTTATAGATATCATCTTAATTCAAATTTATAGATATCATTTTTAATTCAAATTTATAGATATCATTTTTAATTCAAATTTATAGATCTCATTATTAATTCAAATTTATAGATATCATCTTAATTCAAATTTATAGATATCATCTTAAATCAAATTTATAGATATCATCTTAATTCAAATTTATAGATATCATCTTAAATCAAATTTATAGATATCATCTTAATTCAAATTGATATCATTTTAATTCAAATCTATAGATATCATTTTTAATTCAAATCTATAGATATCATTTTAATTCAAATTTATAGATATCATTTTAAATCAAATTTAGAGACATCATTTTTAAATCAAATTTATAGATATCATCTTAATTCAAATTTATAGATATCATCTTAAATCAAATTTATAGATATCATCTTAATTCAAATTTATAGATATCATTTTAATTCAAATTTATAGATATCATCTTAATTCAAATTTATAGATATCATCTTAATTCAAATCTATAGATATCATCTTAATTCAAATTTATAGATATCATTTTAATTCAAATTTATAGATATCATCTTAATTCAAATTTATAGATATCATCTTAATTCAAATTCATAGATATCATCTTAATCCAAATTTATAGATATCATCTTAATTCAAATTTATAGATATCATCTTAAATCAAATTTATAGATATCATCTTAATTCAAATTTATAGATATCATTTTAATTCAAATTTATAGATATCATTTTAATTCAAATTTATAGATATCATCTTAATCCAAATTTATAGATATCATTTTAATTCAAATTTAGGGACATCATTATTAATTCAAATTTATAGATATTATTTTTAATTCAAATTTATAGATATCAATATCAATACAAATTTATAGATATCATTTTTAATTCAAATTTATAGATATCACTATTAATTCAAATTTATAGATATTATTTTTAATTCAAATTTATAGATATCACTATTAATTCAAATTTATAGATATCATTTTTAATTCAAATCTATAGATATCACTTTATTCAAATTCAAATCTCCAAAATTTCATTTTTTTAAAATTCAAATTAATAAACAGCAATTTAATTTTTGTAAATAATCAAAATTCATAGCCTTAATATTTGTTTTTTACAATCTAAATTTATAGATATCACTGTTTTTTTAATTCAAAATTATAGATATCACTTTTTTTAAGTTCAAATTTATAGATATCACATTTTTTTTAATTCAAAATTATAGATATCACTTTTTTTAAGTTCAAATTTATAGATATCACATTTTTTAAATTTAAATTTAAAGACATCATTGATAAATATTTCAGAAAATACCACTTTTGAGAATTGACCAAAGTAAAATTGTCATAAATTGTGTTTAGATTAGATATGAAATGAAGTAATCAAATTCTCTAAGCCAGAAAATGACTATTATTATCTATTTAGCTTGAAGACAAAATGTTAATTTCAATATCAGACACCACTAGAAATTATATAATTAACTCATAATAGTCCACTTTACACAATTTGATGCTTTCCAGAATTCATCAGATTATCTATCAAGAATCTGCCTTAAAATACTAATAGAAAATCTGTTACAATGGACTTATTTTGCTGATGCATTCTTAACTACAAATGTAACCAGCTTTTTTTTCTAAATCAAATTTCCTGTTGAATAATTCTTTATATCCATTTTGTAACCAAGAAGCTATAATGTGTTCTTTTTAAATCAAAGATGAATCATTTGCTTTGTCTTGTTTCTTGAAAACTTAATATAATAAATTTAGGATGCTGTTCTTATTAGAACCTTGAGAAAATAGTAGAAGACATGTTAAAACCTTTTGAAACCAAATGACACAAAAGTCTCATCAAAAACTCCTCCATCTTAATAGAATGGTTTTATATCCTTGACAGATAATCTCCCTTTCAGAAAGGAAGCCATTTAGAAGATCTTTTCTTGGAAACATTGTCCAAATGTCAGGTTAGATGTCCTTAAAGCTTGTGATCCCGAGGAGATATTTGCCAGACATAAACAGCTGGTCTTCTTAAATGTCTTTCTGTGATAGTCTTTCACTTCAAAACTCATTTTCGAAATTATCATTATCATTAATATTCTGTTACAATGTTATTTTTTTGGGTGTTCTATTCTAGAAACCATGATATGCATCTGTCGTATAAGATTATAATTTCAACAACAATTTTCCTGCCAATGTAGCTAGTAGGGTGACATGGGGGAGTATGACCTTGCCGTGCAGATCAGATGACATTTTTATCTGTCCTTGTTAATCACATAATCCCCACCAACATCTAGCCATGTTTGTAGCTAATTTGAAGGCCAACTGAAATTCTGACAAATAAAAGGTTCTAATCTAATATTTGGAGTTTGTGTCGTAATTATTTCCATAGTATTCAAAAAAATATTTATATCTGGTTTCCAGACATTAAGACTCTTGGGATTGTCTCACTTGTTTTAACCATTTCTTATTTACTTGTTTACATAACAGTTGGGGCTTCGAGGTATGTCAACCTCTTATTGGAGAGAGACACAATGGGGGTGTTGACAGAAGAAATGAAAAAAGATGTAAAGTTGAGTCATGAACATTTCTCACTCTTTTCTTTAAAATAACTTAAGGCTTTGGGGCATGTCGTCCTCTAATTATCATCAGGGCGACACACTTAGGGCATGCCATTTCATACGGTATTCAAAATAAGTTAAGTGGTTGCTTTTGAAGTCATTATTAATAGATAGATAATTACTTCTCTAATATAGCATGATAATTTTATTTATATAAATCAAAGCTATTAATGTCATTCAATCATTGCCATTTGTATTTTCTCCCAAATCGAGTTCTTAGGGGGTCCGTATTCCCCCATGTTACCCTAAGCAAATAATGTCAGAAAATGGAAGCATTTTAACTACATGAGTTGTAACCTTATCATGACATTTCCTTCAAATATAAGTTTTCAATTGAAAATAAATCTGAATACAAAAAGTAGGAGAGCAGGTGCATATTGCTACTAACATCTTTAAATTAAACGGAAATGAAAACTTGATTTCAAAATCAATGACCTTTCTTCATGTGTAAAGCAAATGTCTAACTGTTGTGCATCAAGTAGAAATTATGAAAAGAACTAATATAGAGGTTGAACAGTAAATTAAGTTTAAAAATGAAAAAGAAATCAATTGAAATTAGAGAAATGACTGGCATGCTACCATTGAATTATAAAGGATAGTCTGTCACTTAGTTTGCATTGCTCAGTATACATACTAGGAGAATTCCCTTTGATTTCAACTCAACTTCCAATTTAAAATAGAAATCAAACCAAATGGTAATAAAATGGACCTAGTGGAGAAAATTGTTTCGAGAACTTTGATCGTTATTATTGATGGAAAGTAGCCAGAGGAAATACATTATTGATGGAAAGTAGCCAGAGGAAATACATTATGTAACGCTTGAATATTCAGCAACCAACTTTCAAGGCCATTCCATTTAAATTCCAGAATCTTAGCTTATCCTAAATGCACACAAATCAATTCAATAATGGAGAAAAAGAAAAAACTCATGGTTTAGTACAAAGGTCCCCTATTAGAAGCTGTGTATAGATAGAGGTAATGTATCACTAAACTTACTTGTAAGTGAATATATTATGCTGAATTTGAGCTTCTTTACATTTCTCAGGTGATTGTTTATTGGTTTCTGTACAGTCAACCTGAAAATATACACACATAAATATGTATGAATAAAAATCAACAGAACATTCAAAATAGGAATATAATAATTTGTCATTGAAAAATACCAAACTATCCGATAAATCCAGCTATGCTTTAAGTTTATAATATTGCAAGTTATAGGAAATTGGAAATCTACTTAATGAAACTTACAATTCCTGCCTGAACACCATATACTGCTAAATATTCTGCTGATTTGTCATATTCTTTGAAGAAATGCCTAATTCTGGCCAGTTCTGAAAAACAAACAATGAAAAATATCTTAAAAGTTTTGTTCTTGGAGCCCCTACATAACATAAACATGAAGATTCGATCTTGCTTCAACAAATTTATTTTGTTCAGCAAAATAGGAAACATAGTAGGTAAATATCACCTTACGCTTAATGGAAGTAAGTATGTTTCGGACTACAAGTGAATGTGATATAAACAGTAAGTTTCACCTACTTATACCACACAATACTACAATTTTATTCTCATTAATTCAAATTTACTCAACAAAAACATGAACAAATCTCATTTATTTTACAATTCAATCAACTTTTTCACATGAGATTTGTAACCAATTTCTTTTCATCAATGTCACCAGTATCACATTATGGCTCTTATAGTAACTCCTACAGTAGTAACTCTAAATTGAAAGTCTGTTGACCTCACTATATTTATACAATTGAGCACTAAGATGCCATGAAACAAGATCTTATACATTGGCATCTAAAAAAGAAATCATGTTAGGAACTACTTTGATTTATCACCTAGTGAGAGGAACTACTCTGATTTATCACCTAGTGAGAGGATCTACTCTGATTTATCACCTAGTGAGAGGAACTACTCTGATTTGTCACCTAGTGTTAGGAACTACTCTGATTTATCACCAAGTGTTAGGAACTACTCTGATTTATCACCTAGTGTTAGGAACTACTCTTATTTGTCACTTAGTGCAAGGAACTACTCTTGATTTATCACCTAGTGCAAGAAACTACTCTTGATCTATCACCCAGTGCGATGAACTACTCTGATTTATCATCTAGTGTGGGGAACTACTCTGATCTATCACCTAGTGAGAGGATCTACTCTGATTTTGTCACCAAGTGTGAGGAACTACTCTGATTGATCACTTAGTGTAAGGAACTACTCTGATTTATCATCTAGTGCGAGGAACTACTCTGATTTATAACCTAGTTTAAGGAACTACTCTGATTTATTACCTAGTGTAAGAAACTACTCTGATTTATTACCTAGTGAGAGGAACTATTCAGATTTGTAACCTTAGTGAGAGGAACTACTCTGATTTATAACCTAGTGTAGGAAACTACTCTGATTTATTACCTAGTGTAAGGAACTACTCTGATTTATCAGCTAGTGAGAGGAACTACTTTGATTGATCACCTAGAGCGAGGAACTACTCTAATTTATAGCCTAGTGTAAGTAACTACTCAGATTTATAACCTAGTGTAAGTAACTACTCTGATTTATCATCTAGTGTGAGGAACTACTCTGATCTATCACCTAGTGAGAGGAACTACTCTTGATTTATCACCTAGTGTGAGGAACTACTCTGATCTATCACCTAGTGCAAGGAACTACTCTGATTGATCATCTAGTGCGAGGAACTTCTCTGATTTATCATCTAGTGAGAGGAACTACTCTTGATTTATCACCTAGTGTGAGGAACTACTCTGATCTATCACCTAGTGCAAGGAACTACTCTGATTGATCACCTAGTGCAAGGAACTTCTCTGATTTATCATCTTGTGAGAGGATCTACTCTGATTTGTAACCTAGATAGAAGACCTTCTATGATTCATAACCCAGATTCAGTTTTTAATACATTATAAAATTATCTCTTGAAAAACTAAAATAAACATCAAGGTTATAAAGTCATCAGAACGTAAGAGATTTTTGCAGTAGATTAGGTTGACTAGTGGTATCATATAATCATTATAATCATGGTAATAACATGACAGTGGCATTAGATTTATTTCTTCTACGTATTAACTTTTTTTACTTCATGAAAAACACATTAAATTAACCTACATTGTCATTACAAGGTCGATTGGAAGCAGAAAAAAACTTTGAACAGGATTTTTTTTCTTGTTACTGTTTTTCTTTAACGAATTTTGAATGCAAATTCACAATTATTCAAAACTAAATTGAAAAGAAATGAAGCCTAAATAATTGAAAAGAAATGAAACAGAAATTCAATGTATTTTCTTTTCTAAGATTTGAATAATGAAACTAGATAAGGCTGTGTGCAATGATGCAAATTTAACTATGGAAGTGACATAGTTTACTCCCTTGATTTTGAATTGTTGAATAATCTTAATCCTGTAATCGACGGTAGTATTTTATGAAGTATGAAAATATCTTTGTTCCACTACTTTACTTGTTAAAATAATGGTCATGTTCGCACGTTGAAATATCATGGTCCAAAAGCAATATTAAAACTGAATGTAACTGTGAATATTTGTAAATCAAACTGTTCATGGATTCAATCTAGCAGCATTGCAGTTTGCCAGTCAAAATGAACCTTTTTGCAATCCAATTTTTTCTAATATTAGCCAAATGAAAATTCATCACTTTGATCTGCAAATCAAATCAAACTGAATATTTTTCGTGAAAATCGTCTGTCAAGTCTAGAAATAAACGACAACTCTTGGCAGTCTCTATAGTCTAATACCTTATGGAACTAACATCATAGGCTAGATTGATCTGAAATCGACAACTGGAACATAGCGAATCAAAACTTGCAGTAAATGATTGTATTAAGAGAGAGAGATTTTGACTTCTTATTTTGAAGCTGGCACATCTCCTATGACAATTCTTAGAATGTTCTTTTCCTATGCAAAAAATAACTAAAGATCAGTGTCACCAGTAAAATATATCCTTGCTGGCAGCTAGTAGCCTAATGTCATACAAATTAACTTGGAGATGACAGTTAAGTTAGGTTTTTGTCTTCATGGGATTAACTTAAATTGAATTATGAACAACATGCTAATACTGAATGAACTGTGCACTGCACTAAAATTATATTGTCATTCTTCCAATCATTGAGTAAACAATTGGTTGCCCACACAATTACCATGATTTTACTGACATTCGCTAAAACACAAAGCATTAATGAAATGAAATCCAAAGTTCTAACTTTTGCAACTTTTTGGAATATTTATGGCAACAGCTTGTCATGTGTTATGAGAGCAATTTTGCCATATCATTTAGTTTTATACAATTTTTGCCGAATTGTTATAACAGCTGGCCGAAGTTTTTGAAATATTCTGAATGTCCCAACAGTTTTCCCCTACTAGTCTATTTGACCTGCAAACTATCTCAATCAATCAGAGCCACCTGCTGCCAATCAGTAAAACTGGTACCGGTACATAAAAATGGAGATTAACAGAAATTGAAGCATTAACTAAATAGAATCAATTTAACTAATTAAATATTTGTCACCTTATAAGAAATTTTTTTTTTTTGTCACAATCACAGTCATAGGAAAAAATTTCAACCAAACAAGAACTTTTTCTCTCTGAAGGACTGTTAGTTAAGTTAAATCTATAAAGCATATCATGATACAATCTGTAAAAACTGGCACTATAGCTGTGATATTGGGTCATTTCACATGTCAGATAGAACATGCTTTTACTTAGATCACTGATAATAAACTACTAATCCGACCAACTTTCACATAAAAACTATTTAAAACTAGAATTGAATTTGATGAAAATAGTGGGATTTCCGACTTCAATCAAGATTGTTGAACAGATTTCAAGTCAGCTCCAAGCACTTGAGAAAGAATTAGATTATGTGAAACAAACATTCTATGGAAGAATGGATGGTGTTCAAGTGACAATATAATTAAATCTCATAGTTCTATAGTGTGACATACAACAAGATTTATTATTAGTGGTATCAGAATTCAATGACACAAGGACCACTCCATCTTAGTTATTCCTTCCCTAAACTATTACCCGCAATACAAATGTATTTAAGAGTCAAATATTGGAATGTGAAACAAGATTGGAATGACTGAAATTGAAAATATATTTATTTGCATGAATAGGTTAATCAATCAAATTTTTGCTGTTTTTTGATGGAATACAATTTATTTTATTATTGTATCATAATTGAATAGCTTATTTTCTTGTCAACAGCTATCACATTTGGTACCAATACCATTATACTCTTTAAATAACACATTAAAGGGATAGATTTGCCATTTTAAGGAATTTATTTGGGTCTGGAATATATGTAAATAGTCTTTGGAAGCACTAGAAAAATACGAGAATTGCATAATTCTTGCCAAAATGCTCAAACTAGGAATTTCACTTTCTATTTCTATAGATGTCTTTTTCTATAAATGGCAGTGTCTTTTTAACTTTCAAAGCAACTTTGTCATAATTTAGTATTTTTTCAAAAATTCTTTCTTTGATATTTAATTGATAAGTGTTTCATAAGTGTTTCATGTTGCTTTTTCAACAAAAAGCAATGCAGTTTTTAAATTCCCAGACTGTCATTCATTTACAAGTTTCATGAGGAAGCTAGTCAACCTGTATCCTTGATCAAACAATATGTGTAATATTTTTCAGCCTGTAATGTAAAGTTATATTTTCATGGAATTTATGTTCGTATTCCTCATCAAAGATCATCATCCTGTAAACCTTATGGTGGTGATGTCCAGTGCCAGTTTTCTGTCTTGAGTTTTCCAGGACAGTCATAATATAGCACTTTTTTTTCTGTATTACCACTTTATAAAACATTGTATTAAGAGTTAAAATTTAAGATGGCAGTATTACAGTGATAATGCCCTACTAACAGGCCTACTGTGATACACCATAATGGACTATTTGTGAGACTTGAATTACTTATGAAGTATGAGGTCCTGTATTTTGACAATATCAACAGGGTAGGTGTTGTGTCAAAAAAAGTATGTCAATATCTTTAGGGCCTTCAACTTGAACTCACTTGTTTACTTTCTAATTTAATCTCCCAGTTAATACAAGATGTTCAGACTCTCAACTTTTAACGGCAAATTTCACTAATATCTTTTCATTGTACAGTATAGTTTTCTTCATTTATTCATAGGATAGAAAGAAAAAAGTAGGCTAGCCTCACCTATAAAACTTACCTCTTTTATAATAATAAACAACAGCAATATTTCGTGAGCTCTTCAGATTTTCTAATTCATTTTCAGTGTTGATAACTGTCACTTTGTTAAAGTCATGAGGAATGATACAATAGACATTAGAAAATATAACAGACGATATTACAAATAATAACATTGTCTTACAACTCTTTGGTTCCATCTTAGAGATGATAATGAATAGAGGAAACAAGAAATACTTGTTTCCGACACGACCGTCCCTGTCAAGCTCACGGGAGCGAATAACATGTGGAAATAATTTTGTTGGTTTTTATTTACGAGAAGGTTTCTCGACCTTTTTGTATCCGGGTTGTATGCTAATGAGCTGGTAAATACTCTACTGGTTAGGATATATAATCGGGTCTTTCTTCGTTCGTTATAAAATCGATAGCAAGTTGACGATGTAATTTATATCTTGTGTGATAAAATGGTGTAAACTTATCACGAATAGAAAATTCACTATTTGGTTTAATTAGATTTTTACACAGTTCAATAGATTTCTAAAAATTCGTCTGCTAACATGTTAGGTAGCAGCTGTCTACAGTAAAACCTATATAATAGAACCACCCTTCTACAGTGGACGACTAACCAGTATATTATATAACTTGCTTTTGATATATGAAATAATTTGTGTTCGAAATTTGCCAACTGTCCATTCAAACAGACATCAGTGCCTTAATGACCCAAGTGCTCATTGTTCCAAATCTACAAGGTCAAGATTGTAAGGTCTACCATAAAGGTAACTTAATATTATCTGGATGCAGATGATTACTTGTCATCTAACAAAAACCCAACATATTGACCAGACTTCTCAACGTTTGTATTATTATTGAAGGTAGTTACTATTGGCTGTATATTTATCAGCAATAGGAATCATTGAAGTATGTCTTAATATTTATAAATTGTATATAATGTGTTAAAAAATCAATCTGTTTGGTAAGATTTACTGTGTCATATTCTTGTGCTTCATTCCAGGTGAAATGGAGAATAAAAAGGCAATCTTTTGGGGCTTATTTCTGTTGAAACATTATGCAATATTGAGTTGTGAAGAAAACATTAGCAAATGCAACATGGAAAAGAAGAAAGCCAGGAATAAACTGTCACCATTTTAGTATCCTGATGAAGAAAGGAAAAACAGTGTAGTTGAGATATTTTAATATGTTCAGATATTAGACAAATATACAATAGATATAATATACAAAAATAGAGAATAGATTACAATCTGTTGTCACATGTGTAGATCTAGAATCCAAAACACAATGTGAAACTCACTTCAGTGAACCAAAAGCAGGAAAAAGCCATGTTCAGCCAAACAGTTATGATGTATATGACACAATTTTTTTACAAACATTTAAACTACACACATGACAACACAATAAATCTAGAAAAGCCTTAAAATCATGATTCAAGCTATGACAATCTAAACAGAATGAGATATTAGCTATAATTTTTTTCTGCGAGAGATTCAGAAAAAAATCAATAAATCATAACAGTTTTGAAAAAACATAATTTTATAAATTTGAAACAGCTACATAAAATGCATTTGATTGGCAAAGATGTTGAAAATTATTTCATCATATGATTCACAACACTCTTGTTAGCAATTTTATTATTTGCAAAAAATATCGTTATATAAGAAAACCTAATAAACAAAGCATAAACAAAGCTAGGGTAAAAATTGGAATTTGCAAAAAATCATGTTGATTCTTGCAAAGCCATCATTGCATTGAGCTCTTATAAATCATACTTGCAATAAATATAAACTTGAAGAGTATTTTAAGGTTTATGTATTGAGAGCTTTGAATCAACTATAATGATGGTGTACTACACAAACTATTGAATCAAAATCTTATTAAAGATGGACGTTCCAAGCAAAAGAAAAAATACCAAATCATTTGAACTGCATACCAAGTCTAATTCTTAATATTTACTGGACTCTAACCTTTACACTTAAATAACAAATTTTATGAAAGCAACAAACCCTGCACATTTAAATTTGAGGAAAGATGTATTTCTTACATTTTGATGCTAGAAAAAGGGATTTGAAAACTGAAACTTGGATTCCGACTTGGCATTTCATTTCATTTGACATTACATGTAAACAAAATAACATTGGAAAATGACTCAATTTTCAAATTTAAAATATACTAAGCACACTACTGACATCTCAAAATCATCGAAATCAAAACAAGAGTGTGCCATAGTGCCATGTTTTCTCTAAATAAACAATAACATCATCAAAAAAATAAATAATAACATAAAAAATTGAAGAGTAGCTTCTTTAACAAAATACTAAACATAACTAGGAAATTGCAAAATATTGACTAGATATTAAAAGTCCAAAACCAAGGAAAAATTGTCTTAAAAATATATGAAAGTGGTAAAAATGTGTATACCATAAAGACATTATGAGTTTGTACATGATAATAGTGATCACATCATAACATGATCACAACATAACATGATCACAACATAATAAGTGATCATGTTAATTGCACATTAAGGTGGTAAATTACAAGTTTAGCCTTTTAAATCAGGTTTTTAAATTGCAAAATAAAACGACATTAACAAATAGATATAAATAAATTCTCTTTTTAATATTGTTTTTTGGCTCTTATATAATCTTCTTCAATGGAACAAAAATCCATTCAGGTTTTTAAAATATACAATCCAAAAGTAATATAATTTCAAAGAAACTTTTACAAAAGCATGCCTAGTATTTTCAAAGCATCACTTCACATGTCAAATTTTGTATGATAGTGAAAGTGCATGTGTTAAATTTAAATAATTTCCCACTGCATAATTGCCATATCACGTCCCCCAGCAGAAATCATTCTAGAATCATCATATAGAAAGTTGACAGACGTCACATGGCTACTATGTCCTTTATTAATATGGCTGGAAGACTGAAATAAAGAAAACATATTGGAAATATGAATCATAAGCATACCAAAATTCCTGTGTGACATGACCAGTTCGCAATATGGAAATGACCGTTGTAGTATAAATATCATTTAGAAGTATAACCAATTTCAGTGATATTCACAAAACCTGGAAAAAATTTTGGCACCATTGACAAATATAGCTTAATAAACAGCCTTTAATTGAAGAAAGTGCATAATCGCTATTGATAAGATAATGGAGTCTTAATATCATATATGACTTTGAAGAATATTTTTAACTAATATTTATGATATAATTTATAACCTACCCTTGGTGAACAACATGGATACTTATATAAATTTACTTTTCCAAAATCATCTCCTGATGCGATAACAGTATGATTTTTAGTTCTAGCACAACAATTTACATCAGTACCATCAGCTCCTTCTGGCCAAATACCTACAAATAATAATGGCAACTTAAACATCATACATTCTAGACACTGTGCTCAATGATTTTGACCAGATCTATGGGCCTGTTGTTGGAAAGTTCTTTATTTATGATTACTAAGATGGCTGATGAATGATTCACGTGCAGAATCCTTACAAGTTGGACATGATTTGTTATGAGCTGCATCAGTAAAGCTGGCTTTTTGGGCCTTCTTACTAGGCCTGTATTGCACCTTGTTGGATGTGACTGCTGATTCTTGAATCTTTGAAAGATTTTCAGACTTTCCTTTAAAGTGTTTCGCTGCTCAAAAACTAAGCTTTAACTAAGGGGCTGCTTGAGGATGCAAGAAAAATCTAAATATAAAAGTAATTTACCTGCCACATTAAAACCCAATGTACAAGATTGTGTAGCCCATTGAACATTTCTAACATTATCTGGTGAAGTTACTTGGCGACAATTTGTTGTCCCTGAAATTGGAATTCATACCTTTATATTTAACATGTCAGCAGAAGACTGTCAAAATAGTTAATTGAAAGTTTAGACTTCTGCTTCAACAACAGGTTTTATTTCGAAAATTCTTTATTCATGTAAATCTCAAGAAGCAACCTTTGATATGTGACCAGAAGACAAGGTTTTCACTTCAAGCTAACATATGTAAATATCATTAGTAAATAATTTGTTGATTTTTATTTATGAGAAGGTTCATGATTATTTCTATACAGGTTGTATGCTGATAAAATGGCTAAAACTTCAATGGTTAGGAGACAATACTTACAATATAGTACTTCATAATCTCCTGAATTACTGACTAAATATTGACCATCTTCTGACCAATCAACATGAGTTATAAAACTAGAGTGACCCTGAAATAAGATTCCAAAATATCACCGATAACCTAAAGATCATTGCTGGAATCAAGGCTCAGCTGGGCACAAAATCTATCAGATTAGACTATAATAGGTACTGCTTAATGATATACTTACAGAACATCTACCAGTTTTAGTATATTTAGTACCACCATCAGTAACTTGGTATAGATATATATAATTATCTCTTGATCCAACAGCTAGATATTTACCATCTGAAATATTCAAATATCATCCAGTATTAATAGTTAATTCAGAAAACTCATAACAAAAAGGGTAGAAAACCCCAAAAAATCTTATAATGAAAGCATGAAAAAACAAAATTGGAAACAATGTTACCAAGGTTCTAGAGAGTTTACATACCTGGTGAAAATTGCACACATTCTATTTGTTCATTACCATCAGTATGGGCTGTTATAACATCATGAGTATTTAAATCTATGACTAGCCATCGTGCATTATGTGTTCCTACTACAGCTATATTTCCATCAGGGTGGAAACAACAACAGTGGGCTGGGTCCTAGAAAATATAAAATCATTTGTCAAAAGTCAAAAACCTTTCTTATTTTCTGAATATGGTAAAATTTGTGAATATGTAAATCAGATTCATTTGTATATAAAAAAAAATCACATTTATAAAGGCCATGTAGGATTAATATAAGGCTTTAGAGTAAATGTTTTTCCAACCTAGACAAGACTATCAAGATTAACTTACTGTTATTTCTTTAGTCCAGATAACAGAATGTGACATACTGTCCCATAAATAAATATGTTTATCAGAACCACAAGACATAAACTGATGTTGTGATGGATGACAAGCCATACCCCATAATTCATCTATATGACCCTAAAAAAAAACCAATATTGACCACAATTAATAAATAAACATTATTAGCTTTGTGTACCAAGACATTTAATAAGAATGTCAAATTGACAGGCAAACACATTTGCAGAGTGATATTAGGTTTTCCAAAATGGAAGAACATTAGAAGAAATATAGAACTCTTCCCAATATAAATTATGTTAATTTTTGGTATTAACATTAGACCAACATGTTGAGGAAATTTAAATTTAAAAATGAAAAGACAAGGGAGTTTGGATCATAAAAGGGAGTGGAATGTATAGGAATCAATCCAGTCTAAATCTGAAAATAAAAGGAAGGTCCTTGATACTTTGCACCAGTTTTATCTTGGTTGATATTTAAGGATTTTTAACTTCCACTGCATAAGATTAGTTTATTGGTCCATGAGTGCCTAGATGGACCCAGTAGAAACAAGTTTGGAAAATCTTATTTATAACTCTTCAAAAACCATTGAATATATTTCGCATCTTATATTCCAGTTTGTGCTTAACTAACCCATAAGGGTTCTACAAATTCTCTATTGAGAATAATAACATGTGGGAGAAGGGGATTGTATTCTAAGTATACTTCAAAAGAATTCTAAGAAAAAATTGGTTCAAAATGGGTTAATGTGGAAAGTTGAAATAAAATTCCTCCATCCATTAAGATATTAGTACCTGATCATGAGGATTAATACAGTGACTCTAAATAAAATATATCACTTATTAGATGGCTTATAAAGAAAGAGTGGTCTGTAATTTTACAGAACACTACGAGTTAAACTTAAACTAAATCATAAAAGTTTAGGAGCCATGATTTATATGCATGTTTTACCGCACCAAAATGTCTACATGATAGCATTTGAGAAATTCATTTTTCAAATTTTCCTTATAAAAGTTTTAATTAAAATTAAGCACATTGAGCAAATCAAATAGCCTTTGTTTGTGCACCAGGCTTTGTATACAATAACTACAAGTGAGATATAACACATTTGACCAGACTTTGAGCATACTTACATGTACAACAGGATTAAAATTAAGATCTAATGTTCCTTGTAAAATAGAATTCCTGGTTGTACCAACTAATATTAAATTACCATGACCCTGACTAAGTGTACGTACTGGACCATAGGCTTCTGGAATCTGAAATATAAGTTATACGTAAGCGATTTATGAATTTTCCATTTCATTCCTGACAAATGATATTGGTAATAATCATTTTCATAAACTCATTTTATTGGTTAATGTAAATGTTTCAGATTTTTACAAGCTGTTTTTCACCTTTTCATGTTTAAAAACAAAACAAAATGATTAAAAGACAGACCTACCTCAGTTTCCAAACCTGTTCTTTTATAACTTTCATCAAACTGATAGACTTTTCTATCTTTACCACCTCCAGATAGGAGAGTTCCATCCTTCATAACACAGAGAGAAAACACACCTCCATCATGGGCTCCATTGATAGCTTGTGTTATTCGGTTTGTTCCTACAAAAGATAGTTAAAATAGCATTAAATATTCCTAAGAAGTCCAGAGCTTTATTTTATTTATAAAGGTACATACTGCATAATTCAGATATCTTAAAAGCTCAAAATTACGAACATTAACAAAAGCTTTATCCTGAACAATTATTGATCATACAGGATCTAGTACAGTCCTAGGAATTACAGATTTCATCTTTATCTTTATCCTTTGAAATACAAGGTCAAAAATAATTCAAAGATCTGGTTTTATATAATAAAATATCTATAACAAACTTACCACGACCCCAAACAAAAATATTTCCATTTGAATCTCCAGATAGGACATCACCATTTTCAGCAAACGCTAAACATAATACATATTTAGGTTTTTCTAATTTCTGTAAAATATCAACAATAGTAAGTCACAATATCAGTGTCATTCATACAATAAGCCAAAATTACAAAACAAAATGTCCAAGAATGCCTGCTTTTACTATCTCTCACTTATTTCTTCCTTTAACATTTCTCTAGGGCAGTTTTTCATCCATTTTGGTTGTGTCACTACACATTTCATGGCGTCACTTTATCAGCCCAATACTACAGAACATTATAATATAAAAAATTACTTTTTGCTGAATACAACAAGATAGTTGCTGAAGAAAATCTTTGAAACATTTGGTACAGTTTACTTACCTCATAGATACCCTGTTTTTTATTCAAAGTACCACTTTCTAATGTCCAGAATGAGATCTGACCTTTACCACACATCACAATCTGATTATTTTCATTAGGATTAAATTCTGTGACAAGCACAGGATCAGTTGAACTCTAAAAAAAAAATATCATTCAAGCACAGAATTCACATATTCATGGGACTAGTTTGCAGCCATAATTGGGTTCTTAGGACTTATTAATGATAATGTTAGATCAAAACGGATCAGTTTGGTCACCAGCACTTACTGGACTCTCAGAAGCAGTGGTTATGGCACGAGAATTTGTTCTTGTCTTGAGGATGTGAAACCCACTGCACCTTATCACCTTGCAGACAACAATCTAACACACCAACTGATTTATTCTGCTTCAAAACTGGATCAAATACTGACTACACATCAGCAAAAATATTTGTGATCTAGGATCAGAATTTTTTTTCAAAAAGCATACCTTAGTTTCAGTAATCTTATGTGGTTTATCTCTACTGACATCCCATACAGATATAACATGTTCATTGGCATCATCTACACATACCAACTGATGTCCTCCATCCTACAATATAAAAATTTAATACAATATCTCTGATGATTTGACACATTACAATAATACTTGTACGTCAAAGTCAAGATAATAGCTCATTATAGACCACTATAGGCACTACAGTATATATTCACCTTCATATGCCTAGAGGTTTGTATGACAAAATTTACTGAACAATCTAGCAACATTACAGTGACCTTTCCACTTGAATCTAGTCTACCATTTACACTGTGAGCAGAACCAGTCATCTTTGTATGACTTGTCAGAACCCAATAAAATTTGCAAGGTTAGATACACATTTACATAAGTAAATACCAAAGCATGCCCTACCACTCAAAATTTAAATGTGCTGAAAGGGGTATAAAATTTCATACTTACAAGTTTAGAAAAAGAGACACAGCAGACAGCTCTATCAAAATCACCTAAACCAACAACCATCAATGTATTTAAACTAACAGAATCCCAGATACGTACATGTGGCTACAAACATACAAAATTAAATTAAGAACCAATATAACTTCCAATCTAATTCGATATCTTTAGGGCAATCCCTTTTGACTTCATCAAAATCATGCCTCAAATTAAAGAACCAGGATAGGTAAATTGAAATTGAAATTATAAAAGATATATATATGGTTTTCATAAGAAAGTAATCAAGTATATATTTGGAAGCAATGCAGTGAAGGCTTTAAGTAATTTGGCAAAGTGCATAATCCAGGTTCTAATTACCCATCTCCATTCACTTACATTTTACAACTAAATATGGCCCATAGCTACCACATCTTATATGTTTTTAATAAATAATAAATACTCAATAATAAAGCAATACAGTTAAAACATATCAGGATGAGCATTATTCTTAACAGTGATACTGATAGCTAAAGCTGAATCAATTTATTAATAATCTAGGTTTGATGTTAGCAATGAATAGGAGGCATTTAAAAGCAAGCAGAAGCGCTAAATAAAATGACTAGAACCCATGAGATGCTTTTGTTTCAGTTATTATAGGAATACCATTTGAAATACTTTGAATTAAAAAAATCACCATAACCATACCAGACAACATTGATTAAACCCTTTGAAAGGTATGCATTTTAAAAGTAAATTCCAAAAACATTATTGTCTATTTCTATAGGTTCATAGTCAGATGTTTGGGTTCCACTCTATGCACAATAAAGGTTTAGCAATTAAAGCCACACAATGTAATATAATCAAGACATTAAATCAGACAAAATATTGACAAAAACTACATACTACAAAACATAAAGCCAGATTTATATTTCTGAAAATTAACTACATTATAAAATCATTGACATATTGGCTAATGCATCTCAACATCAGCTAGATATTCAATTTTCAATCCATGATTTTCACATTGTTTTTTAAAAATTGCATGTACGAATGATTTTTGAAGAGGGAATTGAAGCTCTATTGGTAGGTAAAGCAAACCTTTTCCATTGTTTTAATAATAATTTACAACAGATCTCACATTGTTAATTTTGTATGTGGCTAATTTTGGGTATGTTCAACTGATATATTTAAAAAATACAATGATAAAATATGTTCACTGTTAACATAGTGATCAATACATCAATTGTAGAGCGATACTGAAATATAATATTTCTATTAATAAAAATAAACAAATTTTAATAAATAGGACATTTCCTGGTTGGTAAATTTGATGAAAATCTGGCTTAATGCCTAACTACATTTAAACTACAACTAAACTACAACTAAACTACATACTAAAAAAATATCTACTCTAGTTAAAATAAATAGATATATCATAAAGTTAATGCTAGTGATTAGTCCAAGAATCACTGTGTTTAAACTATCTTACCATAGAGTCATTAATCTCAACTAAATCACTTGGTATACGTTTTCTCTACAATCAAGTTAGAAAGCAAAGCTAGGTAAATTATTAGTTCAAAAATAAGCAGGACTCTCTCTATATTAGGCATTCTGTTTCTAAAGAATTCATTTTTTGAGAAAAAGATACAATCCATTTCTGGACTTATATCTTATTTTCTAAGAAGGATATGTGATTATTTACCATAAAAAATTCAAATTATTAATTCGTCAAATTTTCAGTGATAACCTAAACAGTCAAGTTTTAAATTTCAGTAATGTATTGTCATTTTATTGTAAAAAAAACTTATCCTGGCTTTTATAGTATAAGAAATCAGGCAATTTTGCTGCTTAATACATGTCACTGGTTTGTCAAATTCTACAGATCAAACAAATAAAATAATACATATTGGGAACTATAGGGCTCTTTTACATGCAAATGAAATTGCAATAGTTAAATGATGCAAATCAAATTAAATCAAATCAATCAAGAAAAGCTAAAGCTAAGATTACAAATCAAAGGAACAAAAATATGGATTCTTTTAGACAAAATAACTAAATACTAAAGCTAGAAATCTCATGCAGTATTAAGGATGCACATTAGTGCTGAGATGAGATATGAAGTCTGACTCTTGCAATCCACTTGTCATTACTTAAGGCATCAGACACCATTTTGTTTAATAGGCTCCAACTGGAATAAAACCTTAGGCTGAAGGTATGTTAAAACTGTAGCTGTTAGTTTAGATTGATCTACTTACTTTGCCTTCTTTTTTATCATGTCCAGCAACTTGACCAGTGGCTATTTTCACCTTGTCTGGATGTATAGCTAAACTGAAATAATGAATTTAAAAAATATTTATCTCATCACATGATCAAAATGAAAAAGCTGAAACTGCCGTTTTCGCTAATTAACAATATTTTTGGGTAATTCCTTACAAGGTTTGTGTAACCATTTCTGTGTTTTGGGGTTTAGAAACAGTCTAATGAGAACAGGTTATTAAGTTTGATATTTCCTTTCAAAGCAGAACTTAACTCACCATTTGACATCATCAGTATGTCCTGTATAATGGCGTTGCATTCCCTCTTCCACATTATACAATACTACAGTAGCAGCTATAAAATAGATAATCTCTCCTGTAGGTAGATGATACAGATTAGATCTACAATCTCTACCACGATATCCATATCTTTATCATAGTTAAAGATAAAATCTCTATATTCCTTCATATTCATCTTCATATTGTCTAAATCTGATTCATAAAATTTTACAGAACCATAATATATGTTTATTCCAATGTCAAGCCCCTGAATGGCTCATTTAAGAATCAATGTGAAGTAATTGTGTAAATATAATCTGGGGAAGTCCCATGCAAAGTGATATGCCAAAGGAGAGCTGAAATACAAGCTCCTCTCCATCTAACGTGTTGTTCTTTACATATATGAATGCAAGCTTCTATGCCTTGTACACATAGTGTGAATCAAAATCCATTTGTAAAAGGATACACCCATTCTAATTGTAATTTTTCATTAGGAGCATCTCCAACTTTACTAACATCAAAATCTGTAACTTCTGATGGTGCATACAAGGCAATACCTCGACCTTTAATATATATCTTCAGATAACCTTCATCTAAAAGCAAAACAAAAGATATCACAACATTGGTGACAAGGAATAGAAACAATAATGGACTTCTGGGGTTGTTTATAATTCATCAGACAGGAAATGATTCTGCTCCTTCATTTCAATCATAACAACTAGTTCAATCAAGTACAGTTATCAAAATGAACTTCTAAAAAAAAAAAAAATTCCTGACAAATGAGGTAATAGTTTTCATGGGATTGGGTTTGTTAAATTATATTGAAGAAGAATATTTGACCAATTTTCTGCAAACTTTCTTTTAAATCATAAACATTCATGTGTTTTAAGATTTAGTGGCCAAAATAAGAAAAGGAAGTCTTTAATTTACAAAGTTTTTATGTTTTAGATATAACCTTAATGCTTTTTAATCATCTACAAATTTGTGTTGATGAAAGAGGTATAAAGAAGGAATTGGGAATCAAATGTTGAATGTATGTTGAAGACCTATCCTGGGTATAAGGACATGGTTGATAGATTGTGAGGTTGAAGTCTGAAAAGTGCAATTCATAGATTATAAAAGTTTGAATCAAGTCCCAAAACCAATGTCATTCTGCATACTTCTAACTTACCAAAAACTATGAAAGCAAATAAAAAAACAGAAAGAGCTTTTTAGTATTTTTGATATTCAAAAAACCGATTCAATTACTATGCATGTCCCAAATGTAAAATTCTGTTAACTATTGTTATATCTGAAGATATCTCCATATCTGTTCCTGATGTTATAGTATTAAATCTATAACACATTCACCCATCAAACCTTTTTCAACATAGCCTACTATTGCTCAAAATATTGACATACCTTGGTTCCAGTTGGGTTCTCTTGCACTGAAAATAAAGAACAAAGAATATTACAATGGTTCATTGAAATCAGATAACATCAAATCAAAAATCATTAAAAAATCATGCATGTTAGATCAATTACACAAATATGTAGATGTATTTTTAGCAGAAATTCAAAACCCAAAACCAATTCAGACAATAGCAACAGAAAAGAAAAAAAAAAGCATCAACAGAACCCCTCATATTCACTATGACAAGCTATAACCTAACTTTGTCTTATACCTTGACTGCAACAGCCACATTTCTTGTTTCATTGAAGATTGTAAATGCTTGGTTTGGTTGGATTGTCCGTTAACGAATACGGTTAGAGTCCTTGACAGAAAGTCTGTAAACAATAAGCCATAATGTTTCTGTTGCTATCAAATCAAATTGTTGCATTCTGTGATTAAAAGAAAGGTGACTATTGCAGTCAAGGTATAAGATGAAATTCTCAATAGTTTCACATTGAGAAGATGAGAAACCATAGGCTAACCCAATCTGAAAGCTTTGAAAGCAGGGTGATGATGAGACCTAAAAAGCAAAAAAAAAAACCACCCGAATTCCAATACAAATTATGAACACACAAAACAGACGTGAAAACCCAAAACCTTGATAGTTAGAAGGAACAAAATCATTTCTTTCATTCCAAAAAAGTTGATTGTAGAGAGGATTTCTTAAGTTTCTATGTGTATTGGGGAAACCATATATTTGCAACATTACAATATACCATACACAAATACACATAATTTTAGAAAACCTCTTTATGATCCCTTTAATGAAGAAATAATGAATGAACAGTTAATTTTGATATTAAAGGGTTAATAATATTTCAAAAATCAGAATCTATCCCTACAAATCTCAGATATTTTGAAAATGATTTTGTTCTGATGATGTTAATAAATACCCGCGTATATGGCCTGGTCTTGGTGATAAATTACTGTATGATTGACTACGTCTAAAATAAAATATAATTATCTTAATGCATGCATGATCTTCAAATTACTTGTTTTGATTATCGATTATCAAATTTCATAATCGATTATATGTCAAAGTTATTTTTTTTTTGTCCACTGTACCTGTTTACAAGTAGTAATCTCTTCCAAATAGTTTCCCTTTAACACATAAATTACCCACATTAAGCTTTGAAAACCAATCAAAGTAAGAATATACTTGTATGACACAAATATCAACCATGAAATTAAGAATTTTAGCATATTTTAATGTAGTATATACAGGGTTTTTAATTAATTCATTTGATTATTGATCAATGCCCAGCTCTAGCTACAATATATATCACAATAAAGCACAATCCTTTCAAGTGTAATGTCTTTTTAAAAGTGCATTTTTGCAGGTAACAAAATAACATAATTAGCAATTTATCATTCATGGGTCAACTGGTGTCACGTTTAAGTTCAAGAATGGGACTTCTACTTTTGATTTCTATGAGGTGTAGATGTTTGTCTGGTATGCCTTATATTTTTAAGTATACATGACCAGAAGTGAAGCATGTATCTATTCATTGATGTATTGTGTCAGTACTAGCTGGATAGACTTTTTACCAGCATTCATCAACAAGTTAAGTCTCATGGACGATGGAAATCTCATACAAATACTTGAAAATTGAAAAACCTCACTAAATTTGGGGTGAGTGAGATTAGAGATTCATTCAAAGGAATACAAAGGAGCTACAACAAGACAATCTGCTAAATATTACTATATTACTATAGAACAGTGCTGAATAAGTTTTTATTCACTATCATTTACATTTTCTATCAAAACTTGCTAAATTAATATCTATTTTTATTGATTTTTACTCTTTATCTATGTCAGTTTATAGCTAATGATATACTGAAATATTGTTAGTAGATTTTATCTAGCAATATTACTGTCATCTAACTTAATCAGCTATTTAATGTAAAGAATCAAATAATCCTTTCCATGGATTTTTTAGAAAACAATGGAGAATTTAGTAATGGTTCATGCTATAGTGTTTAAGCTTTGACAAACATGAAGGGTAAGAATTCCAATATCAAAGTTACAATTCACCCAAATAACATGCCATCCATGATAATAGTTTCTGTCAGCCCAGCAATTCAACTTTTATTCCATGAACTTATCAAATCAATGAATCAACACCATGCAATGTGCAACATAGAAATTCAAACCGTCAACAAACGTTCAAAGCCTGTATCCTATACAGCAGCTTTGTGAACCTTTCCTCAGCAAACATGTCTGTCATATCGGATTTAAATTTTATAAACAAATATTGTCCTTCACTTAATGACCCAAATATAAAACATAAGGTTATATGGAACTATCTAAATACTTTCTAATGACTCAAGCGTGACCCAGCCATAAAATACTTGATAAGGCTGACATTTGTCTAGAAATATCAAATTTACAACAGTTACTTCTGAATATTATTATAATAGTTCTCCATACAACATTCAAAGTGCCATCTCAGAGAGAAAAGATGCCAGTTTTCGATAAAACAGATAAGGTTTTACTGCATCATAATACACATTAATCAGGAAAAGCCCCCTCAATGTTGAAGATTTCTTCAATAATTTGCTGTTATCAACATTGTCTTTAATTTGAATGACCTATTTCTGCCATAAATTTACAGATTGCAGATATTAGGCCTTTTTGGAATGGTGATGAAAAGTAGCTGATACTTGGGCTACTACTGTCTACTGTGTCTCCCTAGTAAAAGGAAGTTAATTAAAGATTTATTTTGCTGCTTATCCAAGTCCAAACTTTGCCGTCTTTTTCATTCAATACTGCATTGTGGCACAAATTATGCAAAAAAAAAAAAAAATGCATGTACTGGTATATGTAAAGTTAGTATGACATACTAAGGAAGCAGGAAATATAAATATCTTTCAAAAATTTTAGCCTCATACAAGTTTTAAGTTTTCTATTTTGAAACATGATCTGTTATTTTAAAACAAAGGAAGTTAACTTTATAAGCTCTAAACTTTAGTTATCATAAAAACACGTTTTTTTTAAAGTAAAATATACCTTTTAGACATGCTGAAGACAATAAAATCCAACCAACAGACAAAAATCACTAAAAGATACAGGAAATCGGCTGACTTGACTTGAAAAACTTTCTATTCACTCACTGACTCATATTCATAGTAGATACAACTTGGAGAAGGGGAGGAGCTAAACTATAATTGACATATTTATCAAGGTCACATTAACTCAAGTTTGTAGTGTAACTGAATGAATATCACATGAATATATTCAGTTAGATAATATAGCTTGACAACTGTTTTAATATTATTCACAGATATCATCACATTCATTTTCTTGAATTTGCCTCACATCCTGAATGATTATCTGGTAAACACCAATCAAGTATAAAACCATAGAGTTAAGTTCATAAATGAATCTATCCAAATGTAAATGGTTCATGAAGCCATCATTTAAGGGGACAAGTGTTCCATTTTGAGGGATTGATTTTAGTCTTCTATACATGTAAATAGTCTTCAAAAGTAGTAATTTAGACAGGATGCACTTTGATTAATATTGATTTAAAAGCAATTAATTCCTAACCCTGAATAGCTCAGACCACCTCATTGGATTTTAAATTCAAACTAACTGAAAACAGTTCATAGCTATCATTTTATTCAATTAACTAAGACCAACTTATTAAAGAATAGAACAACCAACCTAAGTTCTAGTCTTCAACACTTTTCACATATAAAATGAGCAATAATAAAGGTCACAAGATTAAAATTTCTTTAAAATGGGATTCCAAATCATTTTATTCTCAGCTCTTTATAGATGGTATTAGTACATTAAAACCCACGAGGGCTATGGACACATTTTGATAACCCAAGGTGTAAATACGTTAGTATTCATATCAAAATATAAACCATGGATAACTTGGTATAAATACCCTCAGGATAGTAAATATGATAAAATATATAATATATCATTTTGATACTGGTATATAAGGTAATAATATATCTGAATCATGTATCATTCGTTATATTCATATTTAATTGGGCTACATTCTATAACTTACCAAATCTTACACCCTCTGTTCTGAATATGGGACCTATGTTTAAATATTATTCATGAAATAGGCTAGGAGATACAGCAGATATAGTCACTTTGTATTTTTAAATTCTCAATAGATTCCTGTTTACACATCAACATTACAAGGGAAGTAACTATAACATGACTATAATACAATCCATGTTGCTTGCAAAGAATGTAAATGATATGAAAAATAAACAATGAAAATTTCATTGAATAATAAGTAAAAATTGTTAAAACTACTCTATGAAAGAATATATCTTATAAGTTATAAGGCAAGACATAAATATTGTTAATCTTTCTTATAGAGAATTAAAATAAAAAATATAAATACATCTTTACTGTCCACAAGTCTGTTGTATACAGACCTGGTGTTTCTGCTACCCAGATAGATTCCATGCACTCTCAGTACCTTCATTGGTTTCAAAAAATGACAATGGAACATGTCTGTTCAAACTATCCAGCGAGTTTCTTGTGTCTTAAAATAATGAAAATCAATCTTACCTGTGAGAGGTTAATGAACTATTCAAATCAGCTGAATTATTTAACGAACCCCATTTTCGTAAATGGTTTGATTTCTGATGAGCTCGTGGTGAGGAACTGGCAGATGAACTCCGATGTGGTACAACGTTAACATTTTCTAAAGGATTTAAATGTGATTTTCTGTCTGTGGAGGAAGGATATGATTTACGATTGACTTTATATGGTTTAGGTTTAGAAGGTAAAATATTATTCTGTGAGGCTGGAATATAAAATGATTGTTTTAAATCTGAAATGTTTCAATAATTTTTCAAATTGATAGAGCAGTGCCAGTTATCAGGTTATATTCTGATTCAAAGTTATAGATCTGAACAATCTAGTAGTGTCTTTAATTCAAAGTGAAATGGTGACTGAAGACAGGCAATGTCATGCAGTGTGCAACTTTTCCAGGACAGCATCATTAACCTACTCTTTCCAGCTGTAAAAAGATCTTAAACAAACACAACCTGCACACAGGGTATTGGTTTATTGTGTCATCAAAACCTAAATCACCTGATGACCAACTTCAAATCCGGTAATGGTCTACTTTCAATGGCAGTGATCAGGTGCTATTTTAGTTCTTTTGTTGGTATTTCCAGAGGTAAAATCTATAACTTACATTCTAGGTTGCCTAATCGTCTAATAACATCAGATAAAGCTGTTTTTAAACAGATTATTTCATCTTCTTGTTTTCTAACTTTAGTTTCTAAATAAGCTACTCTGTCTATTAATTCTTCTTGTTCTTGACTTAACAATCCATCTGTAATAAATAAAATATAAAAACATGTGTTTAATTGGTTCATAGAGATCATGACTACAACCAGATTTAAATTCATGACAAGATGTTTTTGTTCTCAATTGACCCAGTTCATCATACATGACAACATTTGATGGTATTGAGTCAAGATTACACAGAACACGATATAGGGAAGAATTCTGTCAGATCGTGGATCAAGTGTAGTAACCCAAAACATGAAATGAACCATCCAGATCATTGTCACAATGTCAAGCTATTACTAACTTTGTACCTAGCCACCTTTCTTATATCATGGAAGTTTGGAAATAAAGGGATTTGATTGGATTGTACGAAAGCAAATGCAGCCAATCAGAGGGCTCAACAGACAGTCTGTGAACAACTTCATGTTGAGGGCTCTGATTTTAAGTATTCACTGATCTATAATCAAATCAAATCAAATCGCAGCATTCCGTAATACAAGAATAGTGGTTATTGCAGCCAAGGTATCTAATAGCTTGACATTGTGAAGATGAATCCAGATGTGCTTATCATTGCCTCCGATACACATACATACACATACAAATTATGTAGGCTTGAAAACATTTTTGAAGTAGGACGTAAAACTCCATTCATTTCATTTTCATTTTGAAAACCTTTTTAATTGTTAGTGCAGTATATTCAATCTAATGAAAAGTTCCAGAAACTCCCTTTAATATGTGTAAAGATTAAAGACTACAGAATGTGTCTCGAGGGACAATTTATTTTCTCATATATTATCTTTATCTGTATCCTATCTATTCTAATGAGACATTATCTAGTCACTGAATTTGCTTATAAATTGGCTATAACAATAAAAGTATGACTGTATATAGTAATACTGATATGAAACAACTCTCTGAAATACACTATTTATTTCCAATGTTGAGTCTTTGAATAGTTGTAAATAGTCTTCAGAAGAACTAGAAAAGTACAAATATCGCATAATTCTTTCAAAAATATCTAACTGGGAATTTCAATTTCTATTTCTATATGTGTTTCTTACATACGGAAGAGTTTGAAGAAAAGACGAGTCACCATCTTTCAAACACAAATAATTCTGGACACATATGGATTAGAAGGCTCAAATTTCGGCGTTGATCTGTGAACACTGATTAGCTAAGTTTAACAATTCCAGTTTCTTAAACAAAGGTACAATTGGTCAAAGGAATAGTGAATCTGTCCCTTTAATAATTTCCAAAACTTTATGCTTATCTAATAATGCAACAGTTTGTTTCATCTATGCCATGTAATTAGATTTGCTGAAAAGCACTTAGAAAAGTGTGAGGATGCCTTTAAAGTAAATCAACCTTGGTGTTAGGTACTGGCCAAATGCCAAGTATTTTTTATACTCTTCATGTTTTATTAATGAAGGAATAATTATTGTTAATTATGTGGTTCTGAAAACAGTATAGTGTCAGGAAGTTGGTCTACAACATTTTAAATCAATATTTTGTAACATAACCAGATTAAGTATTACACTCTATTACTTTTGGAGTTCAAACTGCAACTTTATGGCAATGCCTGGTAAACACAAAAATATCTTTCATGTACATGTATTTAGCCCCTGTTTACATTAGAATGCTATGAAGTGTTCGTTCTTTGTCTAGACCTGGACACGATAAAATTACCAAATTTGTACCGTTTACGTTACTACAATTTCGAGCGTTCCAAGAACAGTTCTATAACAATAGTGTAAATGATTTATTGTTCTGACGCTTTTTAATTGAACTCTTCATGAAAGAGTTAATTTTAGACGTTCTAATAGCCCGGATGAAAACAAATTCGTCTTCTCACAGAAACTGTAGAACATGTTAAGGGTCAAGCCGCATGATTAAGAACTGTTCTCAGAACGCCTGACCGTTTACACTTGTAGTTCTCGGAACTGTTCTCAGAAGGGATAATTTTTTAATGTAAACAGGGTTTATGAAAGGTAAAAATTTGAGAAGATACATCACACCAGACAGGCATCTATGGTAATTTCTAAACATATTCTAACAATATGAAATAATGCAAAATAGAACCCTATGTTTAAATGCATTTTACAGAGAGTCAATGTCACAAAATGCAATGAGGTTGTTTTGCAAAAAATTGTAAGTGAATCAACTTTTGCAACATACCGTGAAAAATTCCAAGTGATCATAACAAATTGTTTAAAATCCCACAAGGCAGCTATAGATTTTTAGGGTGCATTTTAAAAGATTATAATAAGAGTTAAATAATAACTATAGCCAAATATTACTCACGTTGAAATAATGTACTTATGTTTACTGGTATTGATTTAGAGTTTAAAATATATCAATTCAAAAGATTATAAACAACAAAAAACCACTGCTCTAAGATGTCGACAGAATTCTTACCTGTTTCTGAAATATTTTCTCCAGCAGAAATGTCATGTTGAGATGTCAAGTCTGTGGCCATACTGACAGTAAATCTTGAACTGACACACAGCTATAATAGTCTACAGTCACACTAAATTGTCAAGATTTAACTAATTGAGAATAAGCCGTCTGCTATCCACAAGAACAACTCAATAATTCTCTTTCAAACAGAAGCTGAAAACCACTAAATCTTAGGAATGTCAGAAATCTGTATAAAAACTGTGCTACTAGCCTTCTCAATGTTTATCATAATACCTTCAATACTACACTCAATATTAGCTACCAGCTACAATATTCTAGACGAGGCTAGATTTATTGATCAATAGAAACAATCTACTGCCAAATTATTAAAGAGGTAATACTCCTTTCCTATCATATCTTTAAAAGCACCAAATACCAAGTAGCACTGTCATGGACCATAACCTCTTACTTACTCAGATTTTTATGTACGGTGAGTTCCACCTATTTTTGTTTTTATAAAGGAAGGGTATATTTTACACATATAATTCATTTTCAAAGCAATCTTTTCCTCTTTACTTTGTACAAACGGTGATTATGCTAGTCTAGATTTTTACAATGTCAAGCTATTACGAACTTCTTATTTATACCTTGTCTGCAATAGTGACATTTCTTGTATCATGGAAGTGATTTGATTGGATTGTACTTTAGCGAATACAGCCAATCAGAGGCCTCAACAAAAATGTTATGCTTACAACCTTTCTGTCAATGGCTGTAGTCACTCAAGTACAATCCCATCAAATTGCTGCATTCTGTGATACAAGAAATGTGGCTATTGAAGTCAAGGTATGAGTAGTATGAAGTTTGTAAATAGCATGACAATGTGGAGATGGCTAGACTATTGCCTTTTTTTTTATTTGATACGGTAGTCCTTCATATGTGACAGCTGATAGACAGACAAGACTTAAACACATGATAAACAAATCCACTTTCTGGTATTCTCAGTCAAAAAGAATTCCATAACAACTATTTGAATTTCTCAGAGTTTAAATATCAGTGGTCTTGTACCTTTAACTAGATCAACATGTCCAATGATGAGTTATTTATCATTTCCAAACAACTCAGTGTCTATTTGTACCTCACTTTAAATACAACAGAATGTCAACTGTCAATATCATATGATGAAATCAATATTCACATCAATAATATCACATATTTTCAGACATGTTCGAGTCCAATTGCCTATAATTTGTTACAGACAACAGCATCCCTGATAAGCACTATTTGTCACTATCATAGGTACTGATGAAGATGACCAATGCCATATACTGCCCATATTAACATGCACTTTCTAAGATTACCAACTGTCAATACATCCCTTATGTTTAATGCAACTTGTAGTACATGAGGTTTTGTTTGACTCCTCCACCTTCTTCTTGATTTATTGTCCAATCCAAAGGAGATATATTTCTTTTTTATTTCAAACTTCTTACCTGCTTTGTTGCAGGGGTTAACCATTTTGAAGCCAGGTATCGTCTTTACTTATGCCAAGAAGCAAGCATTAATCTCATTGAGCTACTCACTAAGGTTCCTTTGAAAATACATTACATTCACAAATATACAAGACAATAAAGACAGGTACAATACTTACTGAATATATTAAATGTTTTAGCCCAGTTAACCTCCAAAACTGTTTCCATAATAAATCCTTTCTAACACTTTCATATTTGATAATCCTGTCTATTACATTTATAATCCAGAATATCCAGTACCAACACAATGTAAAATTGCCAAATCCAGTTAATTTCAGTTAAGATCCATATTTCCCATGCATACAATCATGTAATAATTCACTATTAATTGGTGCATTTTTGTTTCTTTTCAAAAATATAGACCACCATTGCAATGTCATTGAAAAATATATAACACAGTTTGTTCATAAACTTGTAGCATAGTGTTATGTATCAAAAGTATTAAATTGTACTTGTAAAACCACACT